AAGGACAGAGGGAAACAGGATGCAGCCTGGCAGATCTGCCCTTGTTGTCTTTCTGCTGTCAAATGACTCCCAATCAAAGACACTCGCAATTAATGTCCAGAGCTAACGACCTCCCTCCACCTTTATCTCTCTTAACCTAAATTAGCCGCTCTCTCTCTTTCTCTCAAGCCCACTACATCACATGTTATACTGCAGGGCTCTGTGAACATAAACTCAAAAAGGACAGATGTTTGCAAAGGAGCACAAGAATCCGATAGGAGGCAAATTTAAGACACATAAAGCAAACACTGAGACTTAAAATATATGCAGTTCATATTAAAACAGGTACACTAGAATATGATGATTTGTTGCAAATAACATTGTAACACAAATCTTTCATTCTAATCTGAATGATTTTACTAAGAAACAAATGACAAAAGCTGAAGAATCACTCCTAAACTTACAAGAGAATCTTCTTTCAAAAGCTTGCAAATTGAATCAGTTTCTAGTATTTATCATTTTTGTAGTGTTTGTTCTGATTAGATAACCCAATGCCCCAATGACTCTTAACCTCACCTCAATCATCCCAGCGGAGACAGGGCTGTATCTCAGCGCTTCCCAGTGGATAATAAGGGGTTAGTTAGCCCCGCTGAGCTCTTCCTGGTATGCAGTAATTGGAGGTGGGGGCGGTCACTGGACAGTCTTTCCTGCATGTCTGCTAAGGCCTGTCATTAAACTTGTAAGTACAAGCTGACAGATTTTTTGTAGTGAATTTAAATCTGGAGGAAACTCCAACTCCCCCTCATCTAATCCCAGAGTAGGCAACCCTAGTACTTCTACTTCATTGCATATTTTTGATCCAGGTGCCAGCTAATCCTTAATTATGTAAGTGATCTGCAGCACCTGGTGTAATTGAGGAATCAAGTATCAATTCAGTAATTCATGCTGGAAGACGTTAAGTTAAGTAAGAGGAAAGCTTCCCCCTAATCTAACCAGGATCTTGGCATCCATGTGATTTTTTCTTTGACTTTTTCAACTGACGATCTCATGGCACTTCTCATAAAAGCAGGGATGTTAGCTCTGGTGACCTGGTTAAATCCACTCTGAGTTTGAACTGTCGCTCTCCCTCGATTCAATAAGTGAAACAACTTCTCTCTCCTCTACCTGATCTGTTGTTTTAGAGGGGCTGCTTGTACATACCAGCTGCACTGTCGTATCTTTGTTCCAAGTAATCCTCAAATTCCTATATTTAACAAACCACCTGTTAGACTGATCACAGAGAAGTTGGTTTAAGTCTCTACTTTCAGTGATTTACAGTAGCAGTGACCTATAAAGCAGCCAGCAGCCATATCACCCTGCAATTCACAACTCACAACTGGCAACCCACTGAAGCTAAGCAGGTGTGAGCCTGGTCAGTACCTGGATGGGAGACCTCCTGGGAAAAACTAAGGCCGCTACTGGAAGAGGTGTTAGTGGGGCCAGCAGGGGGCACTCACCCTGCGGTCCATGTGGGTCCTAATGCCCCAGTATAGTGACAGGGACACTATACTGTAAAAAGGCGCCGTCCTTCGGATGAGATGTAAAACCGAGGTCCTGACTCTCTGTGGTCATTAAAAATCCCAGGGTGTTTCTCGAAAAGAGTAGAGGTGTAACCCCGGTGTCCTGGCCAAATTCCCTGTTGGCCCTTACCGATCATGGCCTCCTAATAATCCCCATCTATGAATTGGCCTAATCATTCTGCTCTCCTCCCCACTGATAGCTGGTGTGTGGTGAGTGTACTGGCACACTATGGCTGCCGTCGCATCATCCAGGTGGGGCTGCACACTGGTGGTGGTGGTGGAGGGGATCCCCATTACCTGTAAAGCGCTTTGAGTGGAGTTTCCAGAAAAGCGCTATATAAGTGTAAGCAATTATTATTATAAAAGCTGCTGAACAGGGGCTCAGCGGAAGTAGGGTTGAAACCCTGCAGTCCTCTCACCGTGAAAAAGCAGAATGAAATTCACAGCGACAGGCTCGTTCCTCCTGACCAGATTCATTTCCCTCTGTCCGCCAGACGTTGTTTTAATATGGCTTACTCGCATGCCTGGAATTGCAGGAAAGGACACTAAGCAGGGCCAGCAGGGAGTTGCTCCGAGGGCCACCAGAGGCCTGAAAGGGCACAGAGGTGACCAGAGTAAACAGGAGCCAGGCACTGAGGGGTAAAGCAAAAGGGAAGAGTTATCAGTTAGATGAGGGGCTGTTTGAACTTCCTTGTCAAACATATATACTGTATATATATCCACAGCTTAACAGTTGCCAGAGGTTTAGCCCACAGCGGCATAAGGCATGTTTTTTAACTTCTTTTTAACTGTTAGTTTAGGGTTAAGATAAGGCACTGGAAGAATATCTAAACCAGCATTTTAAAAAAAAATAGGTTATTTCAATCGCTTCTATCCCCAGGTTTACCTCGCTAAGTAACTAAGTACATAGAAAAGGTTTAGCTCAGAATTGTTTTTCTGGTCAAACAAAATATCTACATCTTATCCAAAATCTGAAGTAACGAACCCGGATTCCTACATGCAAAAACAATCACTAAGAGAAGACGGCCCAGGCTGATTCCTTTGTTAATATTTATGAGCTCGCCTCAGGAGCAAAATATACCTTCGAAAGTGAAGATTGCATTCGTCTTTTGCGCTCCAAACCTATCTAACCTAACGTAAATGAAGTGAAAGGAGACTAAAACCTCACATTAATCAGAAATGGTCCGCGCATACAATTAGAAATCATTGAATAGGGCTCCAATTTAAAAATGTCTTGTTATCTTCTCTTTGATTTTATGCAGACTTACATATATTTCCTTTATATATATATATTATCTCAGTTTTCCTCTAACCTTTACACTCTCGTCACTATTCCGTCGACCTTCGAGGCAAACGAAAGGTAGGAACGTTTAAAACACGGAATCAGGATCTAAGATGTAACTAGTGCTTTGTGCCACACGGCGTGCCTTTTGTGTAGCACGGCGGAAGTTCAAAGTTTTCTCCCACCATGTGAGCGAGGGAAGTTGGACGGTGTGGCATGGTTTGAAATCGTCTACAGATTAGATTAATTAATTCTATTTCAAATATCACAAGTTTTTATATTTATTAAAATAAAATAATTGTAAGATATGGGAAAAGATAAGGTAAGTTTTTTTCTACAATAAGGTTTTATAAATATATTTTTCGTTTCATCGCCAAAATGACTCCATACCTTGGGACATTAGATGTGTATATAAAATCAAATAAGATTAATTTTACACGCTATTATTGTAGGATCAATACATCAGGATTCGTTTGTTTGATCGAGAAACGTGGGCACTTATATTAACGTTTTAAATTATTTCTGTCTTGTAACATACGGGTTTGCATTTCATAATGTTCGCTAATCTACCAAATAATCAAACCGGTTACTTAAGTACTCGATTCCATTTTTTGGGTCTGTGTTCAAGTGAAATTAGCAGACATTTTATGTATTGTATGTCCCTTTCAGTCACTGGGATGCTGAAATTTCCGTGGCTAAAAACGCTCTGATGCATCTGAAGCCCACAGGACCTCTTGCAGATTTAAAACTCCGAGTTGTAAAATAACCCATCACTTGTGTCCACCATTTTCAATCTTTTTTTTGAACCTTTCAGCATACAGAAGCTACTGTCGGGAGAGAACAGCGAGGACCTTTAACGTAATGCTTTCTCTTTGTCTCTGTCTCTGTCTCTGAAGACCAAGAACCAGAAGAAGTCGCGACAGAAATCTCTACAGCTAGCACAGGAGGACTATGGCTCTGTTCCACACTCGTTCGTGTTCCACCGAGGGCAGATCGGCAAGAATATTCACCAGCTGGTGGAGGACATGCGGCGAGTCATGGAACCCTACACCGCCGAGACCCTCAAAGTAAGAGCAGGCTTCCACGTGTAACGTGGGTCTCCGGCCTGTTGCCGAAGGTGACGTCACTTCCTCGGAACAGACATGGCCGATGCTTCTCTCTGCAGCTGGAGGCCCGGCCCTTAGTGCAGTGAACCGCCGAGGAGAGAGCTGCGCACCTTGCACATTTGAAAACAAATGCTTGTTTTCTTGCATATACTATTTAGAAGGGCCCTGGATGCAGATGATGAAAGCCTAAGTACTGGTTGAATTTCTGCTGATGCTTCAAAGTAAACGCTCTGATGCAACCTAGCTGAAGCCCCATGCAAGTGCAAGTTTTCGGTGTGCTCTGTGATGTTCGCTTTAAAAATGGTTGTTAGGTGACTTTGTCCATAAGAGGTCATTCGGACCATCTAGCTGGTTTGGTTGTTAATAATTGGTCCGGGGTTTTTTTTTAATTTTTTTTGGAGGGGGGCCACCACCACCACCACCAGCTTTTTGAGAGCTTTACTGGCATGACTGGTGAATTAGTGTTCCTAATGTGACGTAGATAATGTGAAGTTGGCGTATGGGATCCAGCCCCCTGATGGTCATGTTGGCGCATGTCTTGAGTCTAGGTGCGGAAGAAGAACGTGCTGAAGGATTTCGTGGCTGTGGCAGGAACTCTAGGGGTCACCCACTTCCTGATCTTCAGCAAAACCCCGGCCACTGTGAACATGGTGAGTCCTTGTGCTCTGCATGTGCGATATCCATGTCAAGAAACAGGAAAGAGCCACAGAAAGTGGGTGATTAAAACTAGTCTCTCCGTGTCTCTTCAGAGGCTTGCCCGTCTGCCCAAGGGACCGATGCTGTACTTCAGAGTCCTGAAGGTAAGCGATCTGGAACAGACCTACATTGGTATATAAGGCTGGAGGACTGGTGCAAGGCCACCTGCAGTTTGTCACTCATTATCAGAATCACTTTTTTTTGCCAAGTCTGTTACTTGTACAAGGAATTTGATCTGTTATCTTGGTGCAAAAACATGGATAGAAGCGCTCAATAAGACATATGTTCTTTACACAAAGAGCGTGCACAGTTCCACAGTTCTATACACACTGCATCCTGTATTCATGTGGTTAAGAAGGGTGAAGGCCATGGGGAAAGCAGCTGGTCAGAAACTTTGCGGTTTATTAATCATCTTAATTTGAGCCCCTGGTAGGTAACCTGAGAGAACAGAATTGTGCACAAGAGCGTCTTAAGAGCTGACCCTCTTGCACTTCATATACTGCACAGAGATACTCAGAAAGCGAAAGGAGGATACAGACCTGCTGCCCATTGCCATTTACTAATATGCTGGCTTCTTGAGAGCTGTTGAAAATCTTGTGGCACTGGGAGCTATGGTGGCACATAGTAATTGCTAAAAGCAGCAAAGCCATGTCAAATGGATTGACCAAAATGTTTGCAAGGTAATGTCGTTGGCAGAGGGCTTTGGCTGATGACTGTGCATGATCAGAGAAATAAATGCACTGTGGAGCAGTGCATGGGTCTTCTGCTTACAAGCCAATGGTCTTAACTTTGCTTGTGGTGTCTTGAAGAATGTTCCTTCTGCTGCTCTCTCCCTCCCAGTATTCCCTGGTCAAGGATGTGGTGTCCTCTCTGAAACGACACAGGATGCACGAGGAGCAGTTCACCCATCACCCTTTGCTAATCCTCAATAACTTTGGGCTGGCGGGCATGCAGGTCAAACTGATGGCTACCATGTTCCAGAACATGTTTCCTTCCATCAACGTGCATAAGGTGAGCTATTTGTGTCATGAGGAATGGTCAATGGAAAAAATCCAATTGAGAAATCTCGCTGTTCAGAGTCCTGGCTTGAAGTTGGATAGTTGTAGGCTTTGCTGTGCAGAAATAGCCAGTGCCACTTTTGTCCACTAGGTGTCAGCAGTGTCTTAATGGTAATGGAAAAAGGTTTTTTAAAAATGGAAATGTGGTTGCTGTTTCATTGGTGTTTTTTTCTCATGCATTACAATGCTGCTCTTCACTAAGTTATTAATTTGCGTAATGCCGATTCATTTTTTGTATATACAAACGTGTTATTTTTTACTGCCGTTTCCTTTGCAGGTAAATCTAAACACCATAAAGAGGTGTGTCTTGATCAGCTATGATGCACAGACTCAGACGATAGAGTTCAGACACTAGTAAGTCTGTTTTCTTCTGCTAGCCTTGTCAGTGCTTTGGAAGTCAAATTAATTTCCTGTTTTGGGGTGGCGCTGGTTGCTTTATGCTGAGTGCAGTGATTTCTCATCAGCGTAAACACACTGATACTTCAATACTGGTTGCAAAGGATGATGCTATCTTTATGCTGAGTGCACAGTGATTTCTCATCAAAGTAAACGCACTGATGCATCCAGTCCCAAAAGAAATCTTGCAGAGGTCACGGGGGGGGCTGAGAAGGCCAGCTTCATTTTACCCATACAGTCATGTGGAGCTAAAGCTGTGCCCTTTAACCTTCAGGGTCAAAAGCCATGTGTGCCCAAGCATAGCATTCTTTAAACAAAATTGTCTAGAAATGGTGTGACAAGATTTGTTCTTTCATTGCCTGTGCTGCATTCTGGCTTTGCTGGATGAGTGGTGCAGTTCCTCACTCTCCTGTCCATCTTCCCCCGGCAGCAGCCTGAAGGTTGTTCCTGTAGGGATGAGCAAGGGGGTGAAGAAACTGATGCAGGAGAAGTTTCCCAACATGAGCAAGTTTGAGGACGTCAGTGAGCTGCTCATGAAGTAAGAGGCTGCAGGATATCGCGGAATTTGTAAAAGGGAAGAAAAGACATTTCAGGTGTAAATGTGCAGGCAGTGGTTAGTGTTCTTAGAGTGGTGGCTATATGTACAGGTTTTTGTCTGTGCTTCAAATAGAGACGGGGTTTCTCAATCCAGACAGTCTTCTGTTTGTTTGTTTTTCCCCACTGAGCTGATGTGATTTTAAGTAATCTGGAAGATTTAGTTAATTTACTGATTGGACAATGATTCACTCTGATAACAATATCTGTAGCAGATTTTTAAATACACCCTTACACATTCACGGGTTACTTTAAAACAATTGAAAGTTCTGGTAATATGATTAGCTTTAATTAAGTTGAAGAGAGTCCAGTGGGGATGTGCTAGACTTGTTCTTGGAACATTAATCAGTGGGTCAGTCCTGGCTTCTAACGATCAAGCAGTTTCATCCTCTTGGCTTTAAATTGATATTGTTTTTGTTCTGATTAGCCTTGCAGAGCTGAAAACCCAGCTTTTGTTTGCTTTTTAAAATGGTGTTTTGAGGGCCGGGCAGCAAAATGAGAGGAGGTCCTTTGGCCCACCTAGACAGTTCGGTAGTTAGTAACTGATTGATCGCAGGATTTCATCCAGCCAGTTCTGAAAGAAGCCAGAGTATTAGCTTCTGTGGCAAAGCTGAGTGGCTTGCGTTGCTAAAGAGCACTTAAAGGAACAGGGGGCCGGACACAGCTGATGAAACGTTTTCTTTGCTGACTGCACAGTGATTTCTTTTCAAAGTAAACGCACTGAATGTGTCTGGCCCGTCTGTATGCGCGCATGGAGAAACTACACCAGAAACTCTTTCACGCTGGGCTGTAAGAGGGATCTTAACGGGGGGGCCGTGTTTCTCCCCGCAGGGCTGCCAATCTTTCCGAGAGCGAGGCAGAGCAGGACGGCGACCACAATATCACTGAACTGCCGCAGGTGTGCTCCGGGCGAGGAAACATGAAGGCCCAGCAGAGCGCCGTGAGGCTGACTGAGGTACGCACTTCACCGTGGTTAGCCCATCTGTTTTGCTGACAACATTCTGCACTGAGGTCTTCGGGGTGAAGGCCTTTACAAGGAAGAAAGCAGCCATGCATTGGTGTTGCAGGACTGATTTTTATTGATTTTTTTGACCCATGAAGTATAGGTGAGCTGTAAAAAGTGGCCACACTGATTCTCTCTTCCTCAAATCCTGGACCCGGAGGAGAGGAAGCGGTGTGCAGATGATGAAAGCATTTCCCACTGACGTCGCGGTGATGTCTCGGAAGTAAACGCTTTCTGATGACGCCATGCTTTGTTGGCTGTTTTAGCTAATGTTATTAGGTTAAAGTTCATTCCATACAGATGCAGGGTGCTTCAGATCAGGAGTAGTGGCGTTCGTGTGGCTCAGTCAGTGAAGGTGGTTGTTCAGCGCACAGGTCCAGGCCTGAAGTCCAGATGTTCATAGTTTAGGTTAGGCCAGCTATGCCAGCTATTGGCGTGACCCCCAGAGTAATGGGGGCACAATTGACCAGTGTGGTTGAGACCAAGTGGACCCTTCTTGCCCAGAGTCCCGCCAGCTTTCAGTGTACTTGCAGCTGAGTGATGTCATGACCCGTGGGAATATCGGAGGGGAGTGACCACAGGCTCTTTCAGTAAGGCTTTAGGTATAGAACCAAGTTGATAAAAGGTTTTTCAGTTTGTTTTAGGTGTAAAAATGGGCAAAACGAAATTCCTCATACAGATGAGATCTACAGTCCTGCAAATCGCTGTGCCAAAGACACTAAAATGGGCTGCTTTTCTAGGATACATGCTTCATGTCCCATGGAATTTCAAAGCCTTTCCTAAGTATGTAGGGGACTGCTTCACCCTCCTCTCTCTGTTCCCAGATTGGCCCCAGGATGACCCTGCAGCTGATAAAGATTGAAGAAGGGATGGGTGGAGGGAACGTGCTTTACCATACTGTCAGTAAGTTGGCAATTTTCTCCTTTAGTTTTTCTTTTCTGAGAGCACCGGGTGGAAAAGCCCAATGGCTGCTTCCCAATTGCCTGGTTGCTTAGGAATTGGGTGATCCTAAGTTATTTGCTCTGTAGATTTTTCTTTGTGAGCACTTTTTTTTTTACTTTCCCTAAACACAATACCACCTCCTCCCAAAAAAGGAACTGCTTTCCACCCCAGATCTCAAAGGGTGATCACATGTCTTCACCTTCTCGCTTTCTGGGAGGACATTGGACGTGCGTGATGAAAGCTGCTTTTCCTGACAGCGCTGTGATTGCTCTTTCAAAAGTAAACGCTTACTGATGCGTCCTGTGGCCTTTCAGAAACAAGGAAGCTGCTTTGTGTGCTCCAGTTGACCAGTATGCCTGGTGCCCATGTTAGACCAAGTGCCTCATGCAGTCATGGCTGCTCATGAGGAGAGGGTGGTCGCACAGTAACGCTCTGGAACGTCAATGCAAGAGTCAAAACCCAGGGGCTGATTTGAAACCCTGTCCTCGCTAGTTGAGAAGTCGGAGGAGGAGCTGAAGGAGATCCTGGCTCGCAAGGAGAAGCAGCTGAAGCTGAAGGAGGAGAGGAAGAGGCAGCAGGAGCAGAACATCGCACTGAAGAAAGAGAAATACCAACAGAACAAGTGAGTCACCACTGTGCCCGTGTAACAGCCCAGAAAATAGATCACAGGTCAATGACTCTCTGTCTGTTATCTCTCTCGTGTCTCGGCATTGAAGTGCGCAATGCGTGTGTGAGGCTGGCTCATGCCAGGGTGGCTGTTGATTTTCCATTGCTGTCTGCTGATGACAGGAAGAGGAGCCTGGAGGGGATCAAGAAGAAGCAGAAGCAGGATAAAGGCGGGGACAATGACAGCGAAGCAGAGGATCCTGGGGTGCAGGATGACCAGGCTGCTGCTGCTGAGGAATCCGATGATGAGGCGGAGTATTACAGACAGGCTGTGGGGGTGGAGCCTGACGAAGGTAAGAGCCCTGCCCTGACCGTCCCCCATTTGTTTTAACAATTTAAAAAGAGCGAGACAAGACAAAGGGGGGTAAAATCAACATGGCTTCTTTTGGGTGCCCTGTGATCTGCTCTTTACTTCAGGAATAGCGTATTTACAGCCTTTTTAGGCCTTCTTTCTGCAGGCTTTAGCTACAGTTTTAAGGCCAGCAAGCCTAGGTTCCACATCCATCCAGAGCCTTCTGCGTCCTCAGAGCTTTCGAAGTTCAGCAGCACTACTGCTCTGTCACGCCTCTGCTGATGGTCTAGGTGGCCGGGTACTGCAGAAGTAAACATACAGAGCTTGTCCCCTGGAGATTCTCCGTTGGGTTTGGCAGTCACTGATGGTAGCAGAGATAACAGATGATAAGGCCTCGTTTTTCTTAGTACACAGTAAAGCAGGTTGCAGTGGGACAGTGGCATTCTGTAGGGTCTGTAGCGGAGGCATGAGCTGTCCATGAAAATCTCGACTTACAACTCATCCTGCCCCCCTACCAGACATGTTCCCAGGGGCCTCCAAGAGGAAGAGGGCTCCAGGAAACGCTCAAAGACCGTTCAAGAAGAGGAAGCTCTCCTCCGAGAGAGTGAGGAAGGCTGGCCGAGACTCGCCCAGGCAGGGCGCACCCAAACCTGGGAAGAAAAACCGGGGAGCCCCCAGTCCAGCAAGGGGGAGGGCCGACCGGAGACAGCCAGGAGACAGAGGAGCAGGGAATCGGCCTGCCAAGAGGGGGGAGCAAAAGCTCGGAGGGAGGAAGACGGGGGGAGGGAAGGGCTTCGGATTTAAGGGACAGAGGGGCAAACCTCAACCAGGTTTGAAGCGGAGAGCAATGGGCGGGGGGAGACAGGGCTTCAAGCAGAAAAGGGGGAAAGGTCGGCAGTGACCCTTTCCTTGGCCACGACAGGCGGAAAACATTTCTGTACCCTCGGGGGCTCCATGTGTCTGTCCAGGTCCCTTTAGCACATACAGATGAATTTGGCGGCGTTCCTGCAGCACAGAGAGACTGACGCACTGCGCTTGCTGATGTTTGTGCCGTGGTGTGTTTGTGCTTTGTGAGGGTTTTTTTCCCCGGTTGGAAGCAGCATCTCTTGGGATACGTCTTGCTTTCCCACAAAGCAAGACAACGCTGAGGAGTGGTGGGTGCACAGCAGCACCCGTGTGCAGCATAAAATAATTTGGCGTACATAGCCAGAACCTGCTGCGGGTCAGACTTCAGAGGCAGTGAGAGAGCACTTAATAGTGTGGCTGCTATCTGGTTATTCCAGTTCTGGGCTCCAGCACTACCGTCCCTCTTGGGTTTTGTCCTGGCTGAGCCTTTAACTTCATATTGGAAAACTATGAGGTGCTGGAAGACTATTGTGAAAATTGTTTACCCTACATAGATGCAAGGGCAGGAAATGGATGCAGGTAGTTTAAATAAGGACTGTTGAAAAACAATAGAGTTCTGTTCCTGGAGGTCAGATCAACTGCACCTGTACCTGCTAGAATGAGCATGGGCAGCCTGTGTGAATAGACATTTCATTAGGACGGAAGCCAGAGGATATTTTGGAAAGCAGTCAAATTTGACTAAGTGCCCAGGCGAAGCGGAGTCTGAGCTTACTGTCTGCGGGCAGAGGCGCTAGACCAATTCCTGTCGGGAGATATATATATATACACCATTTTGCTTCCACCTACAACTTTCACTTTACCAAAATGTACAAAATTGTTCCTGTTTTGAAACTAGAAATGATCTCTCTCTGCCTTTTGTTTGTAAATGATGTACAGACTTGCGGGGTAAAATCTGAAAAGCAATCCTTAATGGTGAATTGCATTTTGTTTGCAATTTTTTTTTTTTATTTCTTGCAATAAAAAATTATTTAAACACTGTCCAGGGTGCTGTCTGGGTTGCTGGAAAAAAAAGGCTGATGTCTGACAGAGTCTTTGATAAGAGGAAAGAGTTAATATTCCAAACCATGTTTGGCTGTGTGGTTAATTAAATGGGTAAGTAGATTGATGGGTCAGTTGACACGTGGGCCGTTACAACTTTGATGCCGCATTAGCCTATGTCGGGTCATACAAGCCTTGAAATGTACTGCAAACGGCCTGGGCCTCTTGACCGGTATTAAGGGCTTTGTGCCCCTGCCGGGACAAACCTTTAGCGGGACGCTGGAGTCTAGATGCGCTGCCGCATTGCTGTTCTTCAAAGGGCGAAAGAAGCGTCTCCCTGTTCCAAACCACGACCCTTAAAAGGCCGAGAGGTCCGCTAGTTCTGGTTGTGGTGGCGAAGGCAGGTTCCTAGCGAGGCGTCCACGGCGTTTCTCTTCAAACCGAACGGAGATGGACGTCCTGGGCCGGTCGGTCAGGGAAAAGGGGGAGTTGGGGAACAGCGGGTCAGACCCTGCCCGTGGACGAAACGTACACTTAACTATGAATGGCTCCTGTGGGTTGAATAACTGGAACTAGTTAAGAGTCTCGGGCAGAAACAGAAGCCGTTATTATTGTCGTTATTATTTTCTGAAAACCGCAGCTCTACGGCGTTTTATAGGCAGATCCTGTATTCAGTTTTATTTGACTTGAGTTTTATCTTCTTGCGCTTTCCCTGGACGTAATGTCCTGTTAAGCTTATGCTTCTCCGTCTACCTTAATCTTACACCGTCACTTGTTCCATCGAAAAAAAAAAAGCTAAAGAGGTTTTTTCCTTGTGGTTGCTGGAAAAGCAAGTCGCTACTTGCTCAAACTGCAAAATAATTTTGTCGCTTTTACCTTCTCCTCAGCCCAGGTGGGTTTCTCGAATTCTTTAGAGGGTGGGTTGGGACTTTCTGAATCTTTAACCCCCCATGTATTCTTAAATGCCTGTATACCATCTGTTGAAATGGTTACTGGTATTGGAAAAGACGGACCTATCGTACTGCTGTTCAGCATATTCTTACTGTATGTTCTTTCTAGTTATAAGCAACTGAACCACTGCAGAATTCAGCTACATACTGCAATTCAACAAATTGTGTATTATACTGCATAAGAGCAGATGCTTTTAACGTTTTTTTTCTTCGGAGTTTTCCTTCAGAAGTATTCTTTTAACACTCCTTAGGCCAAAAGATGTACCCCCCTTAAGTCGCCATTCCTAAAAGGGCATTCGTGCACATTTCGAGTTTTTAAGCAATGCATCGAAACGGTGCGTGCATTTCATTTCTCCTGGCTGCATTATTTCACCGTGCGTAAACCAGTAGAGGTGATGAAGTTGGTCAGCGGTGCCCGTTTGCACTGAGCTTTCTTCCACCGACACGCCCGCAGTTCCAGAAGTGTGTAACAAGTGTGCGCGGGAGGAAAGCAGCGCGGCAGTCTAGTCGAGGACGGGCTGAACCTTTGTTGCGCTGCTAGGACGGGCCCGGTGAGGGGGGCTCGCCACGGCCGGAAACTAGGTGAGCCTGCGGCTTAGCTCGTTGGTGGAGGGAGCTCTTCCCACGCTTTGCCTTCAAGCTAACGTTTCTCACCTCTTGCTGCCTGCGCGGCTGTCTGTGCCATCTTCACGACTTTAATCAGCGGTGCCAGAAAGACAGGAAACCCGGTTTAACGAGTGGCAGAGCTTTTTAGAGCGGGGGAGTCAGGGACGAAACAGTCAGGCAGAACGTTCAGGAAATGACTGAGAAAAACTCAAGAACGGAAGACCATGAGTTTTGCAGGGCAGATCATATGAGCTTTCATTTTATCACTTTGCGGGTAGGAGTTCTTGGCAATTGAGTGCATTTTCACCGCACAGAAGTCTGCGAAATGTATTTGATTGAAGAGTTAAGGGGTTCTGGAGAGTCAGAGTGCGGTCTGTATGTTGGCTTTATCCAACTCTTGAATTGCCACGGGCATTGGGCTTAAACTGTCTAAAGACGATGCCCGTTGTTTACAGGTTTGTACCCGTGTTTGGACACTGGTTGTCCAGAGGAAGTGTGGGAAAACAGCAAAGTACTTGCAAGGACATTGCTGTCAACCCCTGGAAAGAAAAAAAAACTCAATTTTAAATAAATCGTATTAGTCGAAATCAACACACCGTTCAGAAGTCAGTGACCATTTCTTTACATGCAGCTCAAGTAACCCTCATCATTCAGTGGTGTTATTCAACCACAGCTCCAGATAAGAACTGCGAAGGAGAAATGACAAAATATCCACTGCTTTCGAGCCGCAGGGTCCTGGGTTCGATTTAGACCTGGGACAGCGTCTGTGTGAAGTCTGCATGTTCTCGGCGTCACAGTCGCCGACTGATCTGATTTCCTCTCACAGGCCGACCTGTGTAGGTCAGTTGGTTTCTCTAAACTGACGCCGGTGTGCGTCTGTGCGTATCCTGTCGTGCACCTGGGTTCGCCCTCATCGCTTCGCATTCATAACGGGGTTAGTATGAGTATAGGACCTTCGAGGCTATTAAAAATACAAGACTAAAAATCAGTGATGTGTGTCCTGGACTTGTGCTGCCCATTGTTTTCTGCTGTGGACTCTTTTTATCCATTCACTCTGCCGCAGTAATTAAGCAAGGCGGTCATATCTATAATCTTTGCTGTTTTTATTCTGCCTCTTTGCGCTTCGTTGATCCTTTTCAGACAGGGCTATGAAAGGCGCGCAGCAGTCGAGTGTGTGCTGTTATCTGCTGGGAGGGGCTGACTGGCTGTTTAGGGAGGGGAGTGTTAAATTACTTCACCAACCCTTCCTCTGCGAGAGCCCAACGCAGCTTCGGTGCCGCAAACCTATTTTCTAGCCAGTTTTGAGTTGACCCTTCAAGTCGTTTTGCTGTGAAGGGTGCAACGTCTCTGCCAAGTGCTATTTTAAAAAGAACTTGACTTCACGCGAATGAGGAAGTTTCTTTTTCCCCAAGTGTGCTGTCCGTTTCGACAAAGCCCGAGCAACGCTTTCACGTAAAATGTTTTTTGCAGCTCCGTAAGTGTTTTCAACTCCAGAGGGTGCCGAGTTGAGAGACGCCCGTGATTAAGAATCCAGCTCCTATCAGATTTTAACTCCGATCAACATGTCTTATTTCGCGCTCTGACTTTTGCTCTGTGGTGAACAGTTTCTACATTAAAAGGTAGGTATCACGTAATTTATCGCAGTGAAAAAGTGAATGTAGGATCCATACGAGGTGTAAAATGTCGTTGGGCACGTTACGCTTCAAATCGATCACTTCCAAAATAACTGCTTTTTATTTGCTCCTCGTGCCTTTGAATACAACGCTAATTGGAAAGGTGAAAAACGGAATAATTAAATTTACAGTAAAAGATTAGCCCACGACATGGCGTTTTCCACAATGCTTAAGGCTGATACACATCTGTTTTCTTAGCTTCTGTAGGCTGCGTCCTCCGCGGAGGTCAGGAGTCTGAGAAACTGCGTTTCTGCGGCGTTTATTTTTGTGTATTTCTACCTACCATTCACCTCCCCTCCCCTCGCCATACAGCATCAAGGACGCTGTGGGTGCAGTGTTTTTTATTCGTTTCGTCTTTTTGTAAACGCAATTAATAGATCATACCGACAAAGCGCCACATTCCTTTAACTTAAAAAAAGGACAGGCGACAAAATGAGAATGGAGTGAGGTTTAATAGATCCTATTAAACCTCACTCCATGGCCGGCCGGGATTTCCACTCAATCAAACTGTTATCGTTGTTGCCGTGTGCGTTTCTTTCACAGAAGGCACGCGAGGGTCGCGACCACCGGTCCCCCGCAAGAAAAGACGTCGGGAAGATGAACAGCAGCGGGGCTGATAGCTTCCAGATTGGATTTTTGCCGCCGGTTTTCGGAATCGAGTTCTGTCTGGCGTTCCCGGGCAACGTGCTGGCGCTCTGGCTCCTGCTCACCAGAGAGCGGAGAAACTGGCACACGGGGGTCGTCTTCTCTTTCAACCTGGCGGTCAGCGACCTGCTGTATGTGCTGACCTTGCCGCTGCTGGTCATCTATTACCTCGGGGAGAAGGAGTGGATCTTTGGGGAGGCCACCTGCAAGATCGAGCGCTTCCTCTTCACCTGCAACCTTTACAGCAGCATCTTCTTCATCACCTGCATCAGCGTCAACCGCTACGTGGGCATCGTGCACCCGATGTTCACGCACAGCCACGTCAGGCCCAAACACGCCAAGCTAGTCAGCGTCGGCGTCTGGGCTCTGGTCACCGTCCTTTCCTGCCCTGTGCTGAAATATGCCGCCTTGACCAAAGGCGAGAGAAACAACACTGAGTGCGTCTCTTTCGACCACAAAGACAAGACCTATTTCGTTTACAGCGTCTTTTTGGCCACTGTTGGGTGTTTGGTGCCTTTCTTGGCGACTTTCGCTTCCTACTTCGCCATCCTCTGGGTGGTGTGGAAAAACCAGAACATCACGCCGCTGGAAAAGAGGAAAGTAGCCGCGATGATCGCTCTGGTTGTGGTGTTGTATGCGGTCTCCTTCATTCCTTACCATGTGCTCAGGAACGTGAACTTTTTCAATAGAGTCTTTGATACATACTCGTCGCGCAGGCTGTATCAGTCAATACAGGTGACGAAGGGGCTGGTGACTTTGAATATGTGCATTCACCCTCTCCTCTACATGACCGTGTTTGACAGCATCAGAACTATCTGCTGTGGAAGGACTTCAAAACAATAAAAAGAAATCACACCATACCGCCCTCTACTTGTTGTAATCGGTATTGCATCGGTTCAAGGGCAGAAATGGTTTTGGAACAAATAGCTTTAACCGTGCTGTATAATAGATTGTGTGGCATTGTGGAGTTGTGTTTCTCATTTGCCGGTACCGTTGTCAGGTGGTTGGGATCGAAACATTTTATGTTTGTGCTGGAAGACTCGCGGTTCATGCGTTGTGTACACAGGGCCATGTTATTTGTGTTCTTTCTCCATCTAAAACCTTTAGCATTCTTACAAAGTTCTGAAATAAAGCCGGTATTTGGAAATGAATTATTTTGTGAATTTCCTCCTACATTTTTTTTAAACTTGCCAATTGGGTTACAAATACACATTTTGTTGAGCCAAATGACTAACAATACTGTGTTAGTAAAGCATGTAAACTCTGTCTTATTGTAACAAATCCTGTAGGGTTAGAATTATAACCCAGCCAGCTGCATAAATATACTACTATTATATGCAATATATAAACACCATTTATAATCAGAATATATAATGAGGATATATATTTAGCTACTAGCAGGTAAGATAGATGGGCCAAATGTTTTCCTCTCATTTATAAGCTTTCTAAGGGATACAGACACTATTAGAAACATCCTTTTTAGAATGTTATGCAAAAGTATTCCGACCTTTGCACAGTTTTTACATTTTCTTGCTTTAACGTTTGCAGTTGTGACACTTTGTAGTAGCGACTGATATTTCTTATTTACAAAACCCACTCCGCACACGCAAAGAGAAAAACAGGATGAAGGAAATCATTCCGATGAAAGACAAATGGAAAAGTGATTACAGGTGTATTCAAATACTTTGTGTGGCGAGTCTAAATTAATTTAGGTGTGCAAAATTTCCTTAACAAACCACACGATTAGTTGAATGGCTTCTGGGTGCAATTTTTTTTTAAAACCTATTACTTGTTCCTTTGCAGCCTACGCTTGCTGACGCAGCTACCCACCCAAACTACTACAGCCTACACCTGCTGCGACCCACTAGGCCTTCCTCCAAATCTTTTTCTAGAACTCTTCATCATACCTTCTCTTCCTCCCTGGGCCACTTGCCCACTTCTCTCACCAAACCAGCATTCCGTCTCTTCACAGCTCTACTGATTTATGATTACTTTTATGATGGAAACACCTGGACTCATCCAGGCTCAAAGACCTGTAGCTGTAATTGCTGCCAAAGTTGTTTCAATCAAAGATGAAGTTCACAGGTCTGAATACATATGCAACCAACACCCCTCCTTTTTTTTCTCCTCAGTTTTTGCGGATATTTACTCTACCTTAAGTTCTCAGTTTTGAACATTCAGGTTTATGTGTTTTGGAAAAATGTAATGGGTCCGAGTACCTTTTGACAGACGCCGTGCATGCAATTTAAAATGAGAAAGGGCAGTTTCGTGATGTACTCGAAGTTTAAAAGCAATAATCGGTTGCACAACACTTCTAACAAAAGTACACCTTCTGCTCTTTAAAAAGTATACCACTGTGCAATGAGTTGCTCAAAACAAGCGAACATACACCACACATTAGGGTGGTGTGGTAGCTCTGTGGCTAAGGCTCTACCCCTGCGGCTGGTAGGTTGCTGGTCCAAATCCCATGGCTGGCAGAGGAATCCTACTCTGTTGGGCCCCTGAGCAAGGCCCTTAACCCCAGTTGCTCCAGGGGTGCTGTATAAATGGCTGACCCTGTGCTCCTCTCCCTGTCTGTGTGTCTCATGGAGAGCAAGTTGGGGTATGTGAAAAGGTGAATTCCTAATGCAAGAAATTGTATATGGGAAATAAAATGTAATAGATAATCTGATCTTACATGTGGTACAAGGAACGCCTTTCATTAGTACTTGATTAAATCATGAGTGTGACTAGCACTTGGTTCTGATCATTTGATAAAACCCCAAAAAAGGCTGTTAATATGATTTTTACAATCCAGCATTGTGAAACTGATACTGTTCATTTTCTAACCACTTTGTCCATTTCAGAATTGTGGGGGAGCCACAACCTGTCCCAGCGAGCAAGGCCACTCACAGGCCCCCGGTGTCGGGGACAGAGTGCGGCGGCGGGTTGCTCGGCAACACCCTGGCAGTCTGGCTGCTTCAGGCGCGAGAGCGCAGCACCTGGGACACAGGCCTCCTCCATCTGCTCTCCCTGCCCCTGCTGGTATGCTGTTAGGCCGGTGGTCAGGACTGGCTCTTCGGGGAGACTGTGCAAGGCCCAGCGGTTCCTCTTCACTAGCAACCCGTACGGCAGCATCTTCTCAATCCCGGCGGGACGTGGCTGCGCTGTGCCTTTCCTGCGGCCAGTCTGGAAAAACTGAGGAAAAAAGTTAGCCCTGATGGGTGTTGCGGTCGTTTTTTTTCTGTATTCGATGTCTTTCGCTCCTCGTCACATCCTCGGGAACGCCAACCTGTGTCTCAACCTCAGCCCCTCTACGTGGTACAACCAAGTGACCGAGGGGCTGGTCACTCTGAACACGTGTATTCACCCCTTGCGCTTCTCTGCAGCTTCAGAGTTCCGTGCTGTGGAAGGACATCGGCTTCCACACACTAATAACGCTCTTATCCACAGTTGGTTGTTCGTTCTTCTCACAGATTTATTATTCTCAGCGGAGGAGCCGCACTCAATGCCCCCGACGTCCAGCTTTTGGGTCTGGACTGAAGCACCTTTTTTGTGTGTGGAGTTCGCATGTCCTCCACGCGGGGTTTCAAATCCACGCTGGCGACGCCTCCGACTGACTGGCTCTAGGATGACGTCAGCTTTCAGAAATCACACAATTTCAAACATTTTCAGAAATGGTTGGATTTTCAATTGGCAGACAAGGGGCCCAGTCAGTTTTCTGATGATTGGACCTGCTTCTTAATAATAATAATAATCATCACCATCCACTCAAAGAGCTTTACAGGTAATGGGGACTCCCTTCCACCACCACCAATGTGTAGCCCTATCTGGATGATGCATATTTGCATTGAACAGTTGCGTGAATGTAATCAATCATCAATCAAAAATTAGGATCTTTTTATACAGCACAATTTTGTTGAAGAATACCCTTGAACACAAGAAATCGTAACCACATTTTCCCGTTAAAACATACAAGCCGTCCTACATGCAAATGGTTGACAGTTGGTTTGATCACACAAAAGACTGAATTCTCACCCATCCTGATCAGCGTTGGTCGTCCTGGGTTATTTGCAACGAGCTGAAAGCAGCGCGCTAACTGGGGTCTAGCCCGTGGTTAGCACGCAGCTCCGTGCTAAACTACTAATTTAAAACCAATTGCAATGAACGTGGCCGCTGAAATTAGTCCACAACCCCGTGCTAAACCTGTTCTTAATTGCAATGAACCCAAAGTAACAGCTGCTGCCATCTAGATGCTACTAAAGCAGGGAACTGTAATTAAAGTTATAGAGCGAAACCGAAGCGGTGGTGCTTTGTACGCTGGTATAGTACAAATAAACGAGAGAATGATTAAAAGGTTAAATTAACGTGTTCTACGAAGCTAGCCTAGGAACTGCAGCAAAAACCGCATTCGAGACAAACGAGGTCTGAATTCACAAAGCAGGTGTCGCTTGGAAACATGCATCGGTGTGTGCGTGGGAGGTCGAAAGGCTGGGGGATTTTTTTTTAATATGCAAAATGTGTTGCAGTCTTGCGAGAAGGACATAAAGAGACCCTTTTTGCTAAAATGTTGAAACTGTGGTCTACCCGGCTATTTTCGTTAAATCGTGCGCCATCGAGTGACAAATTAAATGATGGCTTTGCGGATTTTCACTCTGTCAGATATGAGGTGGATACAGAGACGGACTTGTCAAACAGACTCGATCAGATATACCTTCACGTGCACTTCTGTTTTAACCGCAAGTTTTATATGGGTAAAGGAGAAACCAACATTCAAAACGATGGTCCAACGGTATTAATAATAATTAATAATTGCTTACACTTGTATAGCGCTTTTCTGGACACTCCACTCAAATATTAAAAGTATACTTATACTCAAGTATTAAAAAGCATGCCTAATTTCACAGATCCTAACTATCCCTAGTGCAATTAGTTCATCTAAATCAGTCTTAAGAGGTCAATTACAACGAACCTTCGGATTTAGCACTCGGCGGACTAGTTAATGCGGTGCTATCTGGAGATCATCTCCAGCTCTGAGCCCAGCGGGAGAGCAGCTGAACTTCTGCTCAGCGTTGGTGTTGTTCTAATTAGCACGACTGCAGGGGACTCCGAATCAGAACATTTATACTAATCTGATCAGCAAGTTAATATGTAGGCCACGATTATTACTTTTTTTTTCTCGTGTTAGTAAATATAACTGAATGTCCCTGGAAATTAAATGTTATTAAAATTTAAGAACGGCTTTTATACCAGATAAGGGTACGTAATTACTGACGCGGTACTCAATTGTAATTCATCACAAAATGAGAACAGCAGCAGCGGGCTGGAGTTTGAGCCCGTACTGTACTATAACCGCTTTTATTTTCATTGATAAATGATTCATACGGAAGTCAACACGTCGCTGTTTTGGTTTCGTGTGTAAGTTATATTTATACTATTGCGGACACGAATGTAAGTGTGGTGTCACTCAGGGGCTAAGTTTGTTGCACTTCATCTAAGAGTTTTTTTTAATGTATGTTTAACGGTCTTCACCGTTTGAGATGGTGAATTAGAATTTTAAGTTGTTTAAGTTGAGCGCTGACTGACAAAAGCAGGTAGTGCGTATTCCTTACAGCCGAGTTAGCACATCGTTACAACAAGCAACAGCTAATGTCCAATAGCTTTAGCAATTTTATTTCTGAAATATAATCACGGTTAATATACAGCAAGGTGCTGGTACACTGGAGTGAACTTCACCTGTAAGTAAAAAGTAAATTTACATTCGCAGCTCTAACAGGTGAACTTGGGAGACTTCGGGAACAGATCTTTTCAGGCACTTTCCTGCCGTTCCTCTGACCTTGTGAACCTTTGTAATTTTAAACACAGCGTCTTGCTGGCCTCTCCTGTGACCAGTGTGCCAGTCCACTGAAAGCCAGCACTGTCGCTGGGGCGTGTGCGGTCCTACACAATCTTGGTCTCGACTGGACGAGCCCCCTGCTCCGTCTCCAAGACTTTCCGCACATTCCGGCGGTTTCACCACCGTTTCTACTGGACCACAACCACAGATAAGAGAAGGGACGCTGTTCCGAATAAGTGTCTTAAATAATCACCTTTAAAAGATGACGGACGATGAGAGTTTTATTTTCTTTAATGCACCCTTACATTTGCCTAAACAAGTTATTCTCTGTACCCCAACACCTCCCCCCCCCCCCCCAAAGCCCTGCTTTCCCTGGGAAACACATAAAATACAACAGATCTACTAAATAACACCCAGATAATGACAGAACACGTTAAGCGTTACACTCCATTTAAATATGTTTTCTTAATTTAGACTCGCTGCACTCCCCAGGATATGTAAAAATTCACTATCGCATACTAAAGACCCTCCTGGCATTAGTTGTAGTACATCTGCTAATAAAAATAGATATTAAACTTCACTATTGATACATTTCACTTTTATTAACAAACGCATGTATTAGTCTAGCCTGCATTGCCTACACATCGTAACGAATTGCAACACACTGATAATAACTGCGCCTAAAAAAAACAATAACAGGCATTAAAAACTGAATTATTAATCTGGTTGTTGTAAATGAGATAACCTGTTTTTACATGTCACGGTTGTAAACACGGAAATGTCGCCGTTTTTCCTTCTTTAAGTGGGTTTGTTTTCTTTGTTTTGAAAAAGACGCGCTGTGAATGAATAATCACTGATTGGCGTTATTGATGGAGAGTGTGTTTCAATACGTTTGAATATCCGCAAATGCTACAGCTGCCTGTTGGAAGAATCGTTTGAACCAAGAAAGAAAGAACAACGTGGAAACATACTCAACTAGAAGGATTCTAGGAGCAGGGGAATCCTGCAGGGCCACAGGGTTCTGGGGGGTACATAATGGATCTAATTATATACTTTACTGGGGAACTCTAGTCCGTATCTGGGCCTGAGGTCTTACTAGGTATATAGATAACTGTACCGCCAATGAGATAAATGTTTCTAACAAAAAAAAACTTTCAAAGTCCTTAAGAGAGCTAAGAAAACAAAGAGGTTAATTGGCTTTTCGGACTGGAAGAAAAGACGCTGGATTGTCCCAGAACCGTGTCTGACACCCCTGACACAGATTTTAACCACCCGAATTAGTGAAGGCGAAGTGGGGTGTCCTTGAGTGAAGCTCAGGGGCCTCGATGGGTTTTTGGGGAGTTCCCAGGGACTGCGAGCCGGTTGCAGCGCGGTGATGGTACCGCCCTCTGCTCTCCTTGCCGCTCCTGCCCCGGTTCGTCCCCCGCCTCAGGGGCTCCTGTGCCGCCCAACAGGGATATTGCCGGCTGAGCTAAAAAAGGCCTCCGTCACTCCGGGCGGCCAACATTCTCGTTATACGCAGGGGAGCAGAGGGCGGTGTCATAACTGCGCTGCAACCGGCTCTATAACCCGTATGTCGGCCGTTAGTTATAGTTGTAAAAGGCCCGGCGTGAAATAACCTCATCACCTGTCGCTTTTTAACAATCTGATAACGTTATGTTGTCCGTTACTCATTATTTAACGTAGCAATTGGGCCCAACAGTAAAACACTCATAAAAACTGTTAATAAGACACAGGATGCAAATATTTACCAGCATGTCCACAGATGTACTTCGCAACAACACTCTCCGATTTGCATCGTATTTTTTTTGGTAATATATATATATACACATGGGAGTCGGAGGCTAATTTATAGCGAAACTAGAACATAAGCAGGGTGTACAGTTTGTCTAGCTACCGTCTACCTGCCTGCGTTATGAGCTCTTTCCCTCTTCATAAGACATCATGGGGCATCGGTTATGGATTAATAGGTTGTTGTTGTTTAAAGGAGACCACAAAAAAAGACAGCACAAATTTATTTAGCATGGGGAAGCGAGACACGACGCCTGTTGCGAGAAATGTGTCATGCCAGTGTGTCATGCCTCTTTACAAATAAACCCCCTATGTCCTTTAGGCTTCATTTCTTCCATCTTTCGTGGTAGTGGTCAGGCTCACAAAGTGTCCGGTCGCGGCCTCCTTCACGGAGCAGAACAGAGAGGCGGAGCGACGACCCGGAACGCGTGAACGGGACAATTAAACTGGACCCCAGTTTTTGAAAAGGGGCTGCTGCCCGCAGTTATTTTGTTACTTTGCAAAACAGCCACCTTAAAAGAAAAAGTTTTTTCCATGCTATACAATTTATCATATTATCTAACACTTATTACACGCCTTAGAATAGCAGGAGGCACAGTTACAGCAAAGGTAGTGAATGGTCCTTCTTCTTCACTCACACCTAAACACCTCGGAGGACCTAGTATTTGACATCAAAGCATAGGAGACACTAGGTATTAATTCATTATTATAAACATCGACGTAAAGTACAGTACCACAGTACACAACATGCAATCGGGATTTCTTCAGTGTTGTACCGGCTGCGGTTGGGAAGGGTTTATAACTCCTCCCAGGCAGTAGGCGTCGCTGTTACAGGAATAGCGAGGCCTCGAAAATAAATCAACCGATCTTGCCTGTTTTCTGCCATTGTCGGTCTTTCTACGCGCTGAGACAGAGCGAAGGGATGCCGTCTGGAGAATACGAGTAAGTCTGTGTGAATAAAATCACCTTTTACTGGCATTTAACTTAAAGTATTAAGTACGTTTCTGATCAGCGTTCTCTCTTTTCCCAGTTCTAAGCCCAGTTGGGCTGATCAAGTTGAAGAAGAGGGCGACGAAGGTGAGGAGGACCTAGTCGGAAAAGGTCTGAGCACAGGCCGAGAAGCACCCGTTTCACACGTGTGATGATTCAGTGTATTATGTAAAATACTAGAAATGCCATAAAATAGGCTCGCCAGCAGAGTGCTTACCTCACCGTAATGACAATACGTGTTTATTTTCGTTTTCACGAACAGCAGTTAAAGGATATTTGCAGCTGGTTACAGGACGATGGCTTAGTTTTACGTTGTACATTATTAAGGACCGTCGTAGGTGATATAATACACGCACTTCGAAATACTGGCAGCACCTTTGTAACCGTTAGAACTCTAAGACTATAAACAAGAGAGCTTTTTAGAAGAAGTGTTAATATAACGCTGCTATCGATCTCATCAGGACTGACTGAATACGGGTCTTCAAATATTACAATGTTTTTGAGATACAACTCTCTGTAGAAACTATTTCAAATACAAATGTCAATGCTCTGTAGCTGTCAATGATGACATGTCATAATTAACTAAGCCAATCAGTTTCCTAAGTTAATTAGCTTGACCTGTAACAATGTATATGTGTCCTGATCTATAGTCCTATAGTATCCCGAAGGAATACTGTATGTTTTAATTGAAGTGCTGCTGTTGTTTTTTTTTTTCAGGAACACTTCCATCGCCCAAAGAGACAATAAAAGGGAATATAAAAACTCTTACGGAGTATAAGATAGATGAGGATGGAAAGAAGGTTAAGGTGAGTTTTTGAAGAGTTGAACACTCTGCTCAGTTGTATGCAATTACCAGATAGGCTGTGCTCTGTGGTGTCTGGAAGAGATTAACAATCTTCAGAAAGTTCTCAGAGCTGACGTTCAGGGGTTTCAAATGGGTTTATCACGGAAGAGTAGCTATTTTTGGTCAGATTGCATTTGGGTATTAATTTTCAGATTTTGCGGTCAGGTTTTCAGTCCTACTGCTTAGGGAAGCAAAAGAGAGGTGAGAACACAGTGTGATTCCATCCTGACCTTTGGCTGCTGCTATTGGAGCATATTAAATACCCCCACCCCTGTGCTTCTGGGTTGATCCTGAAATGTTTCACAAGATGGGCACAGAACCATGTAATAGGCTTATTCCATGCTTAAAAAAAGAAGAAAGAGAACACAATGTTTCGGCCATGGAGCCTTCTTCAGGTGTCAAGGCTCCATGGCTGAAACGTTGTGTTCTCTTTCTTCTTTTTTTCAGCATGGAATAATCTATTACTTGTTCCTTTGCAGCCTACGCATGCTGACGCAGCTACCCACCTGAACTACTAATAGAACCAAGTGTTGTTTGTCCTTCCAGATTGTTCGCACCTTCAAAATCGAGACCAGAAAAGCATCAAAGGCTGTCGCCAGGAGAAAGGTACTGAGCTGTCTGACTGATGTGTGGGTGTGTTTAGTGTGTTTGCGTTCTGTCAGGCACGGCTGGGCTGTCCTCCCTTTGGTCTGTGAATGTGCACTTTAGTAATGTTTATTTTTGTGTCATTTGGCCCCGTTTCTCAAGTGAGCATTCTTCTGGGAAGGGGAGACCTCTTTTATTTAATGCTAGTGCAGGGAGTTCCCATCCCTAATCCTGTAGGACCTGACACTGGCCGGCCCATTCCAGCTGGGCCTGATTACATAATTGAAGCCTTATTTGGACTAACAAGCTGCTTGAGATGGAATATTGGCATTTTGTTTTTCTGCTCAGAAGTTTAGTTTAATTTATAAAGCGCAGCAGTCAAAAAGCGACATGTTTAAGATCTGAAAAGAGTCAAACAGTTCAAATCAGTTCTCTTATTAAGCAGTGAAGGGGTTGATTGTGCGAAGGGAATATTCAGCAGCAGTGGATACCTCTTTGTTTGGGTATTTTGATCTGTCTCTTGATGTCTGGTTGGTGTCTTGATGTCTCGATGAAGCGAGATTCGACTCCAAGGGCTTCCAAGGGAGATCTGATCCCTGGGTGGATCCTGACTCCAGGGTGATGTGGGGGTCTTGGGGTCGAGAATGGAAATAGATCAACTTGGGTGTTTCTTGTTTCATCTATTCACGAGTACCGAAGAGGGGATGGAGATCTTGCTGGTAAGATCTCCACGAGGTTTGCTTTATAACTTTTTTTTTGTTCCGGTTGATTACCAGAACTGGAAGAAGTTTGGAAATTCTGAGTACGACGCGCCAGGACCGAATGTGGCCACTACCACGGTCAGCGACGACGTCTTCATGACCTTCATTTCCAGCAAGGAGGTGAGCCGGTGGCGCGGTCGAGCAGCGGGCAGCCTGTGGCAGAAGCCGAAAAACCACGAAGCAAAAACCGAGCGGTGTGGTTCAGGCTTGCCTCAGGACAGCGATGCACGGTGGATGGCTAATAACGATCATTGATCAATTTGCTTTGATTATCACTGTTATCAAATTCCCATGTTACTTTGGCTGCATGTATTAGCGACTTTGGGTGTGGAATATCTCTGGCTTATTCATGTTTTCCAAAGCAGTTTAGGTTTTTAGCGGCACTCTAGACCCTCTGTTAAGCACTGCTTCAGAGTTGCAGTGGGGATTATCTTCTTAAAGTGTATCAATGGCATTGTAATAATCAGTTTAAAATCAAGGAGGCGTGGCCTGCTAGTGTGTTTCCAATAGCTGGTCTTTGAGTTAAGAAAGCAGAGACGTGAGAGACAGGGTATCTGATAGTTTTCTCTTTTTTTTCCCCCATTAGGATCTGAATAGCCAGGATGACCAGGATGATGCATTAAACAGGATAAGGTGCCAGAAAATCGTCTCCTGCCGGATCTGCAAAGGCGATCACTGGACCACCCGCTGTCCGTACAAGGACACCCTGGGGCCCATGCAGAAGGAGCTGGCAGAGCAGCTGGGGCTGTCCACTGGGGAGAAGGAGAAGACCTCTGGTACTGGACCTGCTGCCTCCTGATGCTGCACTGTTCTAAGATGTTTCTCGTTGCAGTGTCCTGATCTTTTGGCTGCCTCCCACACAGCTTAGCTGGATGAAAGTGGTTAAGAGGGCATGCAGGGAGGGGGGGGGGTTTCAGCTGGTTCAAACGGTAAAGGTGGCGCGTGACCCCTGACCTGTGTGCCTGTGCACAGGTGGCCGGTTCAGACTCGTCGCCAGCTGAGGGTGACAGGATTCCTCAAGCCCTGGGCTCCATCTCATGGCCCGGGCTGGCTGGGGGGGGGGCAGGCGTCTGCTCAGGCCTTCAGGGAAACCCAGGCTCCCGCAGCTGGCTGGGTGCCGGCAAGCTTGCAGAGACATTGGCGAGAGACGCGCTGCTCCTCTGGGAGGTGGGCACTGGCTCTCCTGTACGGCGCAGGCACCCGGGGCTGTAGCCAGCGACCCACACCTTAAACAAGCAGCGATTGCCGAATGGGATGGGTGTAAAATACTGGCGGTTGTGAAAAAACCCCATCTGTGGGTGTCATTGCTATAGGTGCTGGTTAGGCAACGGGTTCAGCGCAAACAAACGCCAAGGTCCTTGCCTATCAGTCCCGAGAGCCTCTAGTTCAGAGCCTTCTTGTTCAGAGAACTGAGGCCGTCAGTATCGCATTCAAAGAGCTGGGAAGGTTGGTTTAGCTCAAAACTGTGGCTGTGGTTAGCATGGCTGCCTCACAGCATTGCGGCCCTGGGTTCAATTCCCCTGTGTAAAATACTGGGGTGCTGTCTGTGTGGAGTTTCTCTCCGTGTTCCCTTGGGTTTCCTCTGGGTGCTCTAGTGTCCTCCCACAGTCCACATACTGGTAGCCTTATCATTTTTTCTAGGAAAATTGACCCAGGTGTGAGTGTGTGTCTGCCCTGTGATGGATTGGCCTTCCCCCCCCACAATCCTGAATTGGAAGAAGAAGAAGTTAGAGAATGCATGGATGGTTGTCGCATCACAGAGCTCTGCCACTAAGCATGCCTCGGTTTCTTTTCTGATAGTTTTTCGGCGCTCGTGAGCTGTGTGGGAGCTGCCATTGGAAGAAGATGGCTTAAACCTCGCTGTTCCTTTGCTTTCCAGAGCCTGAGCCTGTGCAGCCAGCGCAGAGCAAGACGGGCAAGTATGTGCCCCCCAGCCTGCGGGACGGAGGCACTCGCCGTGGGGAGTCCATGCAGCCGAATCGCAGAGGTGAGAGGGCAGCGTTTATTACTCGGCTCATGTCTTTAACCAGGATGATGAGGAGTTAATGGCCTTGAAGGCGAAAAGCAAGATGACTTCTTCAGTCTGAGGGAGAAATCTCGTAACACAAGACGTTACGCAAAACATGTGTCCCCTTTGTGTTTGGGTGTGTTGGCTATTATAGGTGGTCTTGTGTTTATTTTATTTAATTGTATATGGTTGGATTACTTTTAATTCTTTGAGCTCCCCAAATGAAATCCCATGCGACGAGTTGTTGTGGCAGTAAAGAATTGCGTTCCAGTCAGAATGTGCTGGAGGCCTCTTCCCTCCTGGTGCTCTCGTCGCTGGTGTACATCCAGATCTGCCTCTTCGGCACCTCGGTGAGGGAGAGGAGAGCCGAACCGTCCGCTCTTGGGGTGAATCCCGTGGCTGGAGCTATTTCAAATCCCAGAGCTGCTCGCCACGTTTTTTTGGCCCAGTAGGGAAAAGGGGGCACTTCCAGTCCCTTGGGTCTTGTCTGATCCCTCTCTAACCCCCCCTCCCCTCCTCTCTGCCTCTGCCAGCTGATGACAATGCCACGATCCGTGTGACCAACTTGTCCGAGGACACCCGGGAGACCGACCTGCAGGAGCTCTTCCGGCCCTTCGGCTCCATCTCCAGGATTTATCTGGCCAAGGACAAGAACACTGGCCAGTCCAAGGTGAGCCTTGCCTCTGCTTCAGATTTACAGGTGGTCCCAGGCTTCTCTCCCGAAAGTATATCCAACGGTTTTTAATTTCTCCTGACACTTACTGTAATGTTTTGCACTTGGCATTAACCAAGCTGAGGATCTGTGTACAGTTTCTGCAGTAGTGGTATTTAAACCAGTGTAGAATCTGTATTTGAAGTTCTCCATGCTTTAGTTTTGGCATTTATAAACAGTTGCCAAAATCAGAATCATGTTTCACCTGGTGTGGTGGTGGTTTTTTTTGCTCAGCTTGGGCAGAGAGAAGATGTCCCTTTTTTAAGTCGCTCTGTAGCCTGTCAGCAGAACAGAGCAGTAGGCTTATGGTTTTTTTTTCCTCCTGCTGAGAAATGTAATTTCTCTTTTCCTGGGCTGTATTATATATCCATTTTTTTATTTGTCTGCCAGGGATTTGCCTTCATCAGTTTCCACCGGCGTGAAGATGCAGCCCGAGCCATCGCTGGTGTGTCTGGGTTTGGCTACGATCACCTGATCCTCAACGTTGAATGGGCCAAGTGAGTGTTCCGTTTTTGTCTCTGACAGGGTCCCGTCTATTTAGAAGTGCTCTGTAGAGCTCACAGGAGAAGAAAATGCTGTTGCATTACTTGACACAGTGGGAAATGTATCCCTGGAATGATTTGCTGAAACAAGTTTTTTTTCCTCTCTTTCAGACCCTCAAACAACTAGAATTGAAAGATTCACACGTGTTTTATCTCAAGAAGAACAGAATGAAAAAGAATGGCTAACCTAAATCAAAATTGGAATATGAATAAAGATGAATAAATATAAGGTCTGTTGCATTTGTTTTATTTATATGTGGTCCATAACTCTGCTTAGAACCCAGAACTGTAGCAACATCACAGATTTCCGATGTGCAATTACACATGGATTATATAAAATACCTGCCTAACCCGAGGGACTCGGAACTCCTGAAGGGCATAAAGTCTTTGTCCAGACTGGTGCACTCAATGCATGTATATTAGCCATTGTCAGTTGGGTTGCAGTAGAAAAACAGGACTTTTTCACATGTTTTTTTAGTTGGTTAATCAAAACGTTCATGCCATGAAAGATTGAATTCTAGAACTCCTTGGAGCCTGTTGAGGAGTATTATTGTTATACAGCTAATTGAATCACAAGTGTAACCAAAGACTGATATGGAATAGAAACTTGGAAGATAGGAAGTGAGGGTAAGACCTGTGACCTGTATGGAATTAGTGACCCTGCAGTCTGCATTTATCACTAGTAGCAACAAATGAATTGGTTCTAGGGAGGAGAGGTTCATAAACAAAATATAGACCAACTGTTCCTGTTCCCTTGGGACTATGAAATGCTGCAGTTTTTAAAATTGAGATAGTCCCCTGTAAAGCAGGATTGAAGTCTTATCAAAGAGCTCAAGTTCTGGACTTGTTCAGGAAGTGGCCTATCACTACAACATACATTAACAATGGGCTGTAGAAGGAAATAGGCCAAACTGTAAAACAAGTCAATAGGCTATGCACTCGGCTATGAAACAGACCGAGGGTCACAAAAGGAAGAGGAAGTACATTTAGGATTGTACAAAGAATTACCTGCCCTTTTCAGTCTTGTGTTATCAGAGACCTACCAGCCAATTGAGATTTAGTAGGAACATTTCCCACGAGTCTTCAGGAAAGGGATGGTGAGATAGTGGTCAGCTGTCATTCTTCCAGTTTTTTGGAATGTTCCTCATTGCCAATTACCTTTACGCACATGGTAAATTATATCGGCCTACATACAAACCATGGGCAGTTATATACCTATGGAAAAAAGAAACAACACCTCCTCCTCCCCGCTCTACCCCTCCTGGCTGTGGAACAGGCTGAAGAGTGACTCATCTGTGAAGAGGACCTGATGCCACTGCTGATGAGCAGCCTGTCTGGCCCAAGGCAGTCAGGTGTGACATCTAGGTGTGAGCAGAGGGCCTCTGACAGGTCACCTTGCTCTAAGGCCAGCAGCATGGAACCTCACTGTCCTGTCATTGATGCGGGCATTGTGTCTGCCAGCAGTTTCAGCAGAAGTACAGGTGGCAGGTCTGATACGATCTCTCAGATCAACCAGCCTGATGCGTCAGTCCTGGTCTGTTGTGGTGTTGTCACTCAAGAGTGACCAGATCTTGGACAGTCATCTGTCCTGCCGGTCTGCTGAAACCTCTGCATTTGGGACACAGTAGAGCGGCGTACACTGTAGCGTCTGGCAATGCAGGCAGACATGCCTGACTGCAGCATGCCAATGGCCCTCTCCCTTGCTTCTGGTGACATTCAAAGCATTATGGAACACACAGAAAACTAAGTGTGGCCTTTTTCTTGCAGTAACCTAAGCTTTGAATTAGGCCTTTTTAAAGGAGACTTGATTAGGCCTCATTGGGTAAAAGTGCACCTAACAAGCTTTCGTGGGATTGGCAAGTTGCAATGCCTCACTGCACAAACTGTAATGGTGGTCAGAGGGCTTAAAGCAAATTGAGAAATTGAAAGTACATAAGCTATAACTATAGTATTCTTATTCCAGAAAATGCTGCATTTTTCCATCCATATATACAGTAAATAATGCATTTACTCTGTACTTCTCTAAGAAAGGGTTCTAGTACCTTATTTCACATGAACTCACTGTTGCCTCTTTGCAATATAATCTCATCTTCAATCTGAATAGAAGTAAAAACTCAGCATTTTATCCACTCATCTCAAATATGCACTTTGATTTAGTACAAAACCTAATAAAAAGCTAGTTTAGGATTTTTGTCATGCATGTGGTTTATATGTAATTTTGTGGTACTCAGTGTTCCTTCTAATCTATACAGGAGTTCAGTATAATCCACCCTACACTCATTTAAAAGGATTACATTAATTTAAAACCAAAAACACTGAATTGGAGCATATTGTAAAGGATACACACTGAGTAGTCCTGGTCTAACTCAATATAAACATCTTAATGTATTTCTGTAATATTCAATTTCAGAATAAGGGACTCATTCAGACTAATTCTCAGCAAAAATGGAATCTTATTATGTGGTCTCTTCTAAAACAAAAAAATGGACAAAAGACATCACATTTTACCCAACTAAGATCCATAAGGCCTTTTTTGATGTTTTGGCCAAGTTAAATGGGTATTAAAAAGCAATAACACTGCTAAATACATTATCAATTTTTAAATGACTTTATGGTAAGGTCCCTAGAAGTTTTAACCACAGACAAATTACCATTTAATAAGAGCTTTATTTGAAATATTACAACATATAAAAACTACATACAATTTTCCCACTTGCAAGAAGGGGACTGTTGCAAATACACGGTTAAAATCACATTAAAAAAAATACACAAAATGGCACTGCACATTTTCTCTGTAAAATTACACGCATGTCAGCGATCTCTCACTGTTCATTGATATGCGAGGGTGGTGGTGGTGGTGGGGGGGGTGGGTAATTTCAGAGCATTACATCATTACATGAAACCCCATTTAGAGGCAGCCGTTTGTAGTCCAGAGCACATGGCTAGTCTGATATTTCCATCTTCTCCTGTTTCACATTCTCTGTTGAAAAAGGAGGAAAGTAAAATACAGAATTATTAAGAAAAACCATTACGACCAGCAGTAAAAACAAAAACATTTGCTATGTGGGTGTATTTAAAGAGAACAGGAGACACTGTACACAAAGGGTTTTGGGAGTGTGGAACATGCTGCCCAGCCATGTTATTGAAGCTGATACCGAGGCTTCTTTAAAGAATGGGCTGGATGGTATCCTCAGATAAATTAGAAGTTGGTAGCTAACAGGCTAGCTGGGTCAAATTCCTCCTGTTTTCAACTGTCCCAATACATTCATTTTGATTCAAACCTTTTAATCATATCATAAAAGTAAATTTTCCATGAAAGTTAAATTATATGCACAGCAGGAACAGTCCTCTGAAAAAGCCCCTATATTTAAATCCAGTGTGATGAGAAGAAATTAAACTCAATTCAGAGACAGCAAGATCAAGCCTGGAATTATGCCACTAGCAGACTGTGACCCCATCATCTGGTGGTATCCCCATCCTCTCAATATTGCTTATGTAAGGCACTTGCAATACGTCAATTCCCAGGGAAGAATTGAAAAGCAAGAACAAAATTGATCATGCAAGGTATCAGAAACATGCGAGGACCCTAAATGGTAAATATTTTGTATAACTGAAAAACTCAGATGATTTACCTGAGGAACCCTCCTTCATCTTCTCCAGCACACACTTCCTGATCTCCAGGCCAATGGCTTTGGCAAGAGGTGGCGGTACTGCATTCCCCACCTGCAAATCAACAAGGCTGACCTGAGCTGCTGCTTTCTGCTTACACATTTCGGCATCAAATAGTTCTTCACTTTAGGTCCAGTGTTTTACAGACAATTAGCCACAGCCCTCACAATGGATGCAAACTAGCCCAAAGACACAGGATAGACAGAACACAAGCACGTTTAGTGAGCTACATTTTCTGCAAATGTTGACAGCAACTAAATGATTACACTTGCGGAGCTACAGATCATAGGGCTTTTTATTTTGACCAAGCTACTAATTTATGGAGTTGAACCAAAGGGGGTACAGATCAACACCCTTTTCCATCACTGTAAAACATTAAGGACTAGGACTCTCCAGAAAATGAGCTTGAGGCCTCAGGTTTAGGAATACAAACTCATTACTTCACAATGCCAAGATCAGACTCTCTGCAAAGGTTTAAGACTCAAGATCACCAGCCCTGGACCTGTGGAGCCTCTAAGCAATTCATTTTATAGGTCACCCTAAGCAACCCATTTCTAAAGGACTGCTATGCTCACATGTTACTGTTCACAAGAACCAGTATTTCCTTAATTGGCATGCAATGTGTTCCAAATGAGCCATAACTTAATCTCACAAATCACTTGTTAATTCAATCAATTATATTCCAAGTCTTGATTTACAGGTTATAAAACCTGCTGCACTGGGGCCCTCATGAACTTGTTTCACATGCCCCTTACCTGTCTGTGCTTGTCAAGGATGTTGCCAAATAACCTGTATGTGTCAGGAAAGCCCTGAGACCTGGCACACTCCCTCACGCTGACCACCCTGTGCTGCTCTGGGTGGAGAACACGACCCTGCAAACCAGAGCAGAAGAGAAGATCAGTCCAACACAGTACAACTACCCCAGGCTGAAAAAATGAACCTCCCACTCAGTGTCAGAGATCAGCTTATTGAATGTAAATTTTAATGCAAATTGGCAACTTTGGCAAATAGCAATGCAGTACACTTAACACAGTACAGCATTCTACTCCATATTCAATTAATAACAGCATGTGTTCTAGCATTCCATCCAAGCTTTCTTAAAGGGGATTAAAAGACACTCACAAGCCTGCTTGTTTACAGTGTAATAGAGCCACAACATGTCACAGGAAGTTCTGCCACCTTGTTTGGAATCACAACATTGCACTGCTCATACCTGGAAATTTAATCTATTTTGTGAAGTAAATTGGAGGTTTTACAAGACACCATGTACATTTTACTGCACTTATTGCAGTTTGAAATGCACTCATCAATGCTGATTCTTTCTAACCCTGAAACATGAGAATAAGTTTACCCTTTAAAGCAAGAAGCAAAATGACGAACATTTACAGGAGGAGGACGTAGTGCTCCAGTGAAGGGCGGCTTACCTGCTTGCCCATGGGCTCAGGATTGGTGACTGTGGTGCTGAAGAAGCCATCCCACTCCAGCCTGCCGTACAGCCCGGCCCAGTGGTTGTGTCTGTTCCCAGTGTGTGGCAAACACCAGGGAATCAAGGTGTTGAACTGTCTGTCAGCTGGGTCACAGGGCTTGCCTGAGATCAGGAAGAGCCACAATTCAACCACGGGCCAAGACTTTCCACACAAGTTCCAACGCAAAGAGCAAACAGCACATCGCTGGGGTCAGTGCCAATGTGAACAATACAAGTCTTGTGCTGGTGTAACAACTTACTACATGAATTATCATTGGGTATCGTTTAAAAAGAAACAGGTTTATAAAAGCAGTTTTTCCACAGTCATCCATCACAGTCCATTAGAGCTACAAGATACTGGTGGTTTGAAATGTACTCAGAAAGGGATTTAGATCTGTACAATCCAGCAGTTTGTCTCTAGGACAAGTGTAGCGCCAGGGTGGCCAACCCTATTATGGACTGGAAGGGTCAGGAAATTGCCCAACTTATTTTGCATAAGCACATGGTGGTGCTTGTGGCCAAACTCAGCAATGACCAGCTTTGGTGGCTGAACACACCGGCAAAGACTCCTACACTGGCTGCTTTTCTGAGGTTGCTGACCCCTTACCTTCTGCACAGGTGCAGACGCCCCTCAGCGCCCCAGAGCTGCTTCGCCCGTTCTTCTTGTCCGAGTGTGTGTAGCGCAACTTCTTGGTAGTGGTGCCGTCACTCAGGCGCACCTCGATGTTGGGGAGGTCACGCCAGTCTGAGCCTGGTGCCAGGGGGATGTGCCTCATTCTGGCCGCCACCAGTGCGCTCATGTCCTGAAAGGGGCAAGGGAGGAGGAGGGTTATCTTAAGAATTTCTAAATCCAGACATTAACCCCCTGCTTCTCATTAAATGACGAGCCACTTCCCCGGACGTCATACCGACGGCAATCATTCAAATCTGGGGTCAACATTCAAACTGAAGGCGACTTTAAATTTGCTTCGGTGTACAGAAAGTGTGGGTGAAGACCTAATTTATCATTGGGCTATAATGGATCAAAAATCAAAGTAATCCAGCTATCATGGGAAAAACTAATTCAATTTTGCTTCCCCAATCTGCACATAACTTATGAGCAAAGTTGTATCCTAAAGTATTCCAAGACAATGACAAACTTCAGAGGAAGGATGCTCAAAAAAGAGGGAAAAGAAAAACAGGATGAATAAAATGCAGACACTGATCTATTATCAAACAGTCTCCTCTTGTAACCCTCCTAACATTAGGGGATTAGTAATAAGCTGAGGAAGATGACAATGAAACTGGAGTCGCACCTTGCAGATCTGGTCTCGTAGGATAGGCTGGTACTGTGAGCCTCGGATCTGTCTCTGGAACCAGGACTGGGGTTCCCCATTGTAGGAGATCTCCAGTGCAGAGGCCCCATTCCTAACCTCAGGGAGGTCAGACATGGTGTCCCGAACTGTGATAGTTCTATATATCCCGCTGTTCACCCTGTGGAAATAATTTAGCCTAATTAACCTATGGAAAGAGTACTGTCATTATCCCAGTTTACACAGGGCTTTAAATGACCATATTTACAAGTGGCTTTGTAATGTTTACCAAGATTGCAATTTAGTCCTGTGAGTTTTTTTTCCCCCGTCAGGGGTTGCTTTACAGGACACATTGGGACCTGAAACTTCAGTTTTCTTGCTTCCTCTCAGCGCAGTTACCTTGTGATGTTGCTGACGTATCGCTTCTCATCCACCACCACGCTCAGAGAGCAGGCACGGGGGGCAAACACATGCAGAGGCTCTGGGTATTTGGGCAGCTTCTCCCCAGGGGCGGCAGCCAGGATGATGGCTCTCCTGCGGGTCTGTGCCACTCCGTACTGCCCTGCCTGCGTACACAGCGTGCAAGAGACACTGACCGTGAACTGCTGTACTGGCAGGGAGAGAGATATTTGATCCAAGGCCAGACATTTGCAGCTTTTAATAGCACATTTACACTAGACTAATACCAAATTGAATGGTTGTTTGCAACATCTGGGTAAAATCTTTGTGCATTCAACAGGGAATCTTTTCCATGTTTTGATTCACTTACAGCATGTGCTCACTGACAGAAAGCCACAGCTCAGCATTTTGTATTGTGTTGCTAAATGCCCTTAATCTTTGGGGTTCACAACTGCTTTGGGAAGATGGCCAGACCGCCTGCAGCACAACGTTTGTTTCTCATTCCTGGCCTAGTAGAGAACTGATGTAAAACTGAGGAGCTTAAAATCCATTTAGTTTCTTTACTTAACAACCAGTGATTGAAATGGATACCCAGTGTTAAGCCAAGTGAAAAAAATGAAATGAAATCCTCCAGTGTTACTGTTTTTAACCAACTGAGATACCGTTCCAAGTTTCCCTTCGCCTCCCTCTCATGAAAACAAGGAAAACGCAAGGTTGGCAAAGGGATCTGTTCACATGTGTGCTTCTGAAGAGCGTAGGCACAGTACAGAAAGCCAGTGCTACTCGCCTGCAGCACTCCGAAGGTGCACTGGTACCCCATCCGCACCAAACAGCGCAGCGTGAGCTTCAGCACCATGGAACGCTTGAAGGACACGAAGTTCCGGACGTTCTCAAGCAGGAAGAACTTGGGCCGGTAGTAGTCACAGTAGCTAAAACAGTACAAAGGAACAATGAGTCACAGACCAGTAGACGTAATTAACCAAAAATTCCATTTAATTGGCACACAATCTCCCAAATACGGCAAATGAAAATCCAAACTCAGTTTTAGTGTTAGCTTTTCAAGCATGAAAACTCTTAAAACTTAGTTACAGGTTAGCAACCCAATAGCTTCCACCTTAAAGAGCAGCTCAGCTCCTTTTCACTATTAATTAATAAAAATGAAGGTATAACTATAGTTTTATTTAATTGTACAATACTTTTAGGAAGTTTTTTTCCTCCCATGCACCTGTAAGAATAGAGATATAAAAGAATCCTTCCCCTCTGACGCATACTTGATTACATGTTATTTATGTTATGTTGTTACATGTTACTGTTATTGCTATTGTGTTACTGTCTATTGTCTTATCTTCTGTCCTATTTATATACTGCACCTGAGTGACTAATGAGAAACACTTTTCATTATACTACGCACCTGTGTAAGTTTAATGACAAAGTTGAATTGAATTGAATTAGGAACAATGAAAAATCCAAGCTGCAGACCTGAGATAGGAGACCACCAGGGAGTTCTTGAATTTGGAGTAGGTGCGGGAGTTGAAGCGGTTCATGCCACTGAAGCCCTGGCAGGGGGGACCTCCACACAGCATCTCCACATCCCCTTTCTGAGGGAGCTTCTGCCCCAGGGAGTTGGTCTTCTCCCCAGACATGACCAGCTTCAGCAGGACGTTGCAGTCCTCCGTGAAGACGGTGGTGCCCGGGTTGTTCAGGCGGAAAGCCTGAGCCGCGGGGTCCCACATCTCGATGGCCCACAGTGTCTCCGCAACCCCTGGGTCAGGGGACGGAGAGAAGAGCAGAGAGAGGCGTCAGGCTCGGCTGCAGACACTCATCGATGCAGATGGAAGAGGCACATGAATCCTGGACTTACCGGCCTGGTGGAATCCCTCAGAAAGCCCACCACACCCAGAGAAGACATCCAGGGTACGCAGCTTGTGGGGCTTCAGATCCTGGGGCTCCTGATCCAGCTGCTCCTGAACCGTGGAGGAAGAGGATTTTCCCTTGCCTTTCCCTGGAGAACAGCGAGCATGTGAATAGTGACACAGTGATGCAGCAAGGCTTACAGCTCTTGGCAAAACACAAAATTGAACAAACTAATCTAGTAATATTTTCAGGTGCTCATTGCAAGAGTAGTTTGAATTCCAGTCTGAGTCATGCTGTGTGGATACAGGGGATATTGCTTTCAAACATGGCCGAGACAACTGTCAATTCCTGTTACTGGCATACTGAAACTAACAAAGAAAGGTAAATGGCGATGGGAAGGCGTTAAAAGAAAATTTTAATCAGCAGCATTAAATTGTAGGATAGGGATCGGCAACAGCTCAGTTGTTACAGTCCAGTTGGATCGTAGCTTAAAAAATGGCAGGTTAGCGCAAAGCCCTGTTGCCAGAGGTAAAACATTTAGGGATGTTCGCAAGGCTCAGTCAGCACACATCTGCTTGATTACTAACCCACACAAAAAAAAAAACACCCAGTATAGAACTGGAGGAAAGCAGCTAAGTTTTGGAGCATAAAACCGGCCTGGACTTATACACGAAAAAAATATTTGTAAAGGCCAGAAGTAACATTTCACAAAAAATATTCTAGGACTGAAGTAAAAGGAATCGTATGCTTTCATTCCAATAAATCCCGTACCTTTGCCTTTTCCCTTCCCTTTCCCTTTGTGTGAAGCACTGCGGGCGTGGTTCGGAGGGTCTTCAAAGCTCTTGGTCTTGGAGTTGTACGCCTGCAAGAGGAAGATTCATCATTTTCTCAAAGCTCCTTCTGTTGCAGTGTGACAATTTTAACTGACAGCCTTTTAGAGCGTGATGTGCATCAAAAAGAAAAAACTAAGCACTCTATAGACCAAGAGTTAAAAAGCAAAATCTCCCCAGCCATTGAATCCACTCACACAGCAGCAGAAATCATACCCAGAACCCAAGGTAAAAGCAGAAGCACGCAGTCCCAGATGAACAACGAGAGGGTCGTTACCTCCAGGAAGTAGAACCTGTCGGGTCCCGCGCTGGAGTACTCCTGCACAGACTCTATCAGGTCTTCCCCATACTCCACAGTGCAGCGCCCCTGCACGTCCTTGCAGTCCACAGTCACCTCCTCGTCACTCCAGTACAGCATGTTGATGTCAGTGTGGTACCCTGCTTTGGGCCCTTTGTGAGTGTTTTCCGGCCTAGAGAAGGGGGGAAGGGATAGAAGAGAAGTACAAATGAAGACAAAGACCAGACTGCCATGTTCATCCAAGTCTCAGAAAGGGAAACCACTGCAAAGCTGGGATGCTCTTAGCAAGGCACAGTTCTTATTGTTTGTCATCTGGAACATGATTCTGTTTTTAAAAAAACAGAACAAAATGACTAATGCACAAGGTTACACTGGCAAGTTGTGAAAGGGAAAAATTTCCCATGCAAAATGCAAGCTTAATTGGTCTTTGATCAAGTGCAGATTTTTGGCAAGTTTTATTTTTTCCATGGGCTTTGGGTAAAACTTTTTCAGAAGCCGTTCCATTACTTTCAGAGAACGCTTGTTAAATCTCTCATATGGGCACTGTCCATTAGTCCAGCAGCACTTTAACACCCCCTCCCCCCCCCTGCTGCTTCTCGTTTCACAACGCCTAGCCCTCTTCACCCTTACTGATCGTTACAAAGCTGTCCTGTTATCTCAATACCTGTAGAACTTGTACAGGCGCAGTTTGATCTCAGTCTCGTTGGGCTTGCCGTTGCTCCGCTTCAGGCAGAAAATCTCCTTGATGCGGCCCACCCTGAAGGGCTCGGGGGCGTCCAGGTTGCTGCCCTTGATGTAGTCTGAGGACTTCCTGTAATATTCAGGGTACAGCTCCTCATCCACGTCATCCTTCCTGTGTGGTCGCTTCACTGGACTGGCGGACTTCACACTGGAATGAGACATTTGTGCGCATGTCACAGGAGATAAGACCCCCAAGTTATTCAATTCAAGTCAAATCGCTGTAACGCCAAAACAGAATCCAACAGATCTGAAAGTAAACCAGGAGCTCAGCAGAAGGACATCTGTGGCCATTTCAGTGTCCCAAACTTTAGGACTGCAACCTAAAGTATACAGAATATAGGTACACCCTGCTATGTATTTTATCCTATTCACAATCAGAACACAGAACAATCCTGTTCTTAATCTCTGCCCCCTCCATACCTGAAGGAGAAGGACTCTGGTAGCATGTAGACCCCATCCCCTACTCTGTACTGCTCCCCCCTCAGGCAGGCCAGGCCGTAGAAGACTTTGGAATCGTGGTCCTCAGAAAGCGGCTCCAGCACCCGGGGAATCTCCTGCTCCATGAGTTCCTTCGTCCGAGTACAGCTGTCACAGAACCTGAAAGAGAGAACAGTGCACACGGGATGTGAGAGCACAATCCAATACAGGGGCATCAACACCCGCAAACTGGTATTGATGCATTTTCCATCTTAATGTCATTTAAGCAAATGTTGGAACTTAAAAGCAGCAAAAAGAAAAAGATCTGGGAACCTTGATTTATCATGGTTAACTAGACAGTGTGGCGAAGCAATAAAGAATGATTGGACAAAGTACATGAAGAGAATTTAGATCAAGAGAATCCATGTTAATCACACAATCCCCTTGGTTGTGAGTTTGGATACAGTAAAGGGAAAGCCACTATGCACGCAATGTGTCTGAGAAATCGGAACTGGGTTTTTGGTTTATCAAGGGAACAATACAAACTGCATTTTGCATCAAATGTTTTTCCATGCATTGAAAAACCTACCTAAAACTAGATGAGCAGAAACAAATGAAGGCAACATGGCTATAAGGGTGCTGTTATGTACAGAACGTGCTGTTTGATGTGCGTCTTTCAACTCCCACTTTGCCCTCAGTCGCACTCACATGATCTCGCAGTCCTCAGCTGGGCTGACATTGGGAGGAGTTTCGAAGCGCGCATATTCAGGGTTGTACCACAGCTGGTAGAAGAAGCTCTTCCCATCGTCATCGATCACTTTAATTTCGCTGTCCATCCCTCCCTGCAACGAAGAGGTGATGCCTGCTGTACTACTTGTTGATTTTGGGGGGAAAAAACTCCACAAGCATGTTTCTCACTCTGCCCAAAATAAGTACAGTCGTAAGAGTCACTGCTCTCCTAAGCTGCACAAAAACCTTCTTATATATTTTATCACTGGACCCCATATTTTAAAGTACGGCATTACCTTGCTGACATTTCTTCAATTTTTACATTCTGCTTCTGTTTCTATTTACGTAGATCTGATCTTTTCACTTTCACAATAGGTTTTTGGCAGTAGTGGAGACTATTTTTCTTGGTTATCATCTGTGACAATGCCTAAAGTACACACGGCAGTATCAGACTCTACACTCACTCAAGTTTTAAAAGGCAAGACACCCATCTACCCAAAACCGACCGATTACAAAACCACATTTCCATAGTACGTGGAGTTGAGCCTTTTACTTTATGAGCCACTACAGGACATTATTACTACTAAGCACTTTCATATACAATTAAAACAAAAACGGATGAATATATGGTCCTTCATTACATCTGCAGCACACTGGTATGCAAAGTTTTTTAAAGAGATGAAAAGTGCTTAGCGGTAAAAACATTCCCATAGATGCTCATCAAGTAAAAGCTTTTGTTTAAAAACTGATATTGGGTTCTGGAGTCTGTCTGTCAGGAACCTGACCATGGCCCATCTTGGAAGCCGACTATGACCAGGACCACCCAGGCAGTGGCGTGCTGCTGGCTGACCACTGCCATGATCAGGCTGGGTTGTGGTGGCCAAAAGGGCCCTTTGCCTGGGACGGGCACCTGTAAGCTTGCAAACCCACCAGCAAAAATGGCATTCCTCCCATCAGTGTCTCTGCTCCTGTACATCACAACAGAGGTCAAACTGCATAAACCTAGTTGTCAGATATGAGTAAGTGGTGTGGGAAAAAAACCAGAGATCACGGAACCAGGCCTAGCCTAAAGGAAAAAGCCAGTGACCAAGTTATCTCCCCGCTTACCTCCATGAACCAGTTGTTGGATGGTGCTTTGTACATGACGTTGACTTTTCCCTTGACGTAGGACAGCTGCATGTCCTCGCACTCGTCCACCAGGAAGAGCTCCAGGGGGTCCGAGGACTCCCCCAGCACAGTGTCTGTCCCACGGCAGAACCAATGAGCATGGAACATCTTCCCGTTGTTGTCCTCCCACAAGGCTGTGATCCTGGTGGAGAGAGGGAGGGGGACAAGAAGGTATTAACGCTTCCTTTCAGAGCAATAGGAAGATTTTAGTGTCCTCCTTAAAATCTGAAAACTGGCTGCATACGATGTTGTACCTTAACCAATGTCTGTGAAAACTTCACCTACACAACTTCAGTGTTCTTAAAATTAAATGCCTTAGGATGCCCAGAGTTCATTCAGGATGTTTTCCAGACTTGTGCACAAATAAGTATAGGCCTGTCATTTTGGAGGCAAAACACTTGAGCCTTTTGGAAGAACAGGACATGACTTTGCCTGTGTCTGAAGGCTTTTACTGCACTAGAGCTCACAGAGACAACCAGTCTAACTGTACAACTGTACAAAACTTCAGAAAAAGTACCTAAATGTTCTTGTGTTGCAGACTGGGATATACAAAATGCAATGTTTGCTCAACATCTATGATACTCTTTAACACATTTTTGCAGTTTTAGTTGAAAATACACAGTCAATATGATTACAGCTACCTCATGACTGGATTATGCAGCTTCACCAAATATGCATTATAATAATGTACAGTTAGCTTTTCATTAACTTTAAAATGAATTTGTTTCCTGTAGGAAGAACCAGGATTATACTATTTAGCAGGACCGTGTTGGTGGAGTATGTTGGCACTGTGTACAGATCACATGGTACGGAACCATTTACAAAGCACACGTCATCACATGGAAGAAGAGGCATCATCTCAAAATTAAATGATAGCAGAGCGGACGGAAGAAATATGGAATATAACAGAGTAATTACAAAAAATAGATGCATTAGTATACTGTAGAAAGTGCCACATCTCCAAATTTTGCCAGTCTCCAAAACACACCAAGGCAGATCGCCAGAAATTAAAAATCAAAGCCCTAGAGTGTACTAAGGTATAGTCAACAAATGAAGGAGGAAGGATGGTTCTGCAAATTGTTAATTCTGAGGGAGTGCAGGTTGGGCTGCCATTGAAGCAGCTGCAGAGCTACAGATAAGGCTCTCAACAGTTAAAGAAGCATCAATGTGAATCCGAGCAGTAGAACGTTAATGGCTCTTTGAGCACCTGGTACAAACCTGGCCAGATAGAGGGGTTTTGAAGGGTCGTCTGGACTCACAGACACACAATCCCCAACCTGCAGAATTTCATCTTCCACACTGACTTTCATGTAGTAATCCTTCTTACCCACCGTCTAGAGACCACAAAAAAATAAAGTGGAGTTAGGAAGAAACCACCTGAGATTTTAAAAAGTCTGTAGAAACAACATGAAAAGAGAGTGGTAACTCAGAAGTCTCAAATTCACAGACTACATTAGTATTAGTTCTCACATAGCACTCTCTCTCAGTTAGATATGCAGTAAGCAGTAAAAAAAAAAAAATCACAGAGAGATCCAAACAGGTTTTAAATTATTTTTTTTTACAAGATGTCCAGAGGTACCAGTATTAAAAGAGCAAAGAACACATAAGATGTTCATCAGTTGAGCCACCCTATAACTCCAGTTTTCTGCACTGAGGAACCCAACATCCTTGGCCCATGTCAGGGCAGGTCAGTAGCTAATACCGACGACCAGGATCCCTCACGCAGTGGGATAATCGTCCGAGTGTTGCCAGGGTAAGCATGGGATGAGTCTCTGCAAACAGCCATACCTAGACCACACAGCTAATTCAAGCCGACACTATCCTTCCTCTACAGCATAATGGGGCTGGCAAGGCCCCATAGCCTTTTAGCTAACAGGTGCATGCGGCGAGGTGCTGCAGCACTTTACCTTGACGGGCTCCCCCACCCAGGACAGCTTGCTCTTGCTCTGCTTCTTCTTTTTGGCCTGAGACATCTTCTTGGGCGTGGTCTGCACAGGCAGGACATCATCCTCGTCTATGTTCTCGTCATCCTCCGCTTCCCTCACCGCCAGGTTCGGGCACCTAGCAGACATGTCCGTTCAACTGCATCTTTAAAGCCCTACAGAGCAATGATCCCCACATACACATCCCCTGCACCTCTCCAAAGGAGTACAAGCTGTTCATTATCATCTTCTAAAGTCTGAAAGGAACTAAGCACAACAACCCAGCTAAACACCCACCATTTAAGGAACTACTTCAATCTGTTCCTGTAACCTCAGGGGTCTTGAGGGCTAGTGTGTCTGCAGGCTTCTTAAAACACCAGAAGTGCTGGGAGATTTGGTCCTGTTAAGCCAGAAACAAACTGCATTGGCTCACTAACTGCCAAGTTATACTGAAAACCCATAGACACACCAGCCCTCCAGGACTTAGACTGGGCTCTGCCTGCTATACACAGATGACACTTGTCTGTCGGGAACAGGCTGTTTCGTATCCTAAGACATGATTTTGCCATGAGGATTTGTGGCCAAGTAGCCAACCACCGAGATCAAGAGGAATGAGTTGGTTAGAATTTTGCAGCTGACTCGCTGGCACCATGCAATGGGAAAAAACAAAGCAAAGAAAAAAAAAGCCAGAGTGAAGCAGCCTCACCTTCTCTTTAAACAGGCCTGCTTGCTGCGTCCACTTCCCCCAAATTTAATCATATCCTGGCACGCTGTGCACTTCCCACAGTCAGGAGCCTGGCAAACCTGTGCCAAAGAACACAGAGTTAAAGACACAAACTAAAACTCCCCTCATCTCATTGGCAAAAACAAAATAACTCTATAATCCCAGCTTAATTGAAAACATTGTATAACACTATGCTAAGCAAAAGAATTCAAAACCAGTTAAAAGCAGAAGTGAAATAAAAAAACTCTAGGAAAACTTGAGTGCTTTGGCTGCCTATTTATTGTCAGCAATCCATTCTTAACACAGGTGGTGGAATAAAGCTCGTCTCTTCAATGGTCAGCTGAATGAGACTTAAGTGCGTAACAGACGATTCAATTCTTTGGACACTCATTTGTATCAATGTCCTTTGAAAAATGCGGTGTTCCAGAAGGAAAGAACAGGAACACTGGGAAATCCCACTCCACTCTAAAGGAGTGCATGGATGTAGTGTGGCCCTGGCACACCGCTGCAGTCCCCCATGTTCTCACCTCGCACACCCCGCAGCGCCGGCGCTTGGCAGAGCTCTCCTTGTCGTTCTGCTCGATCTGATCCGAGAAGAAGGTGTCGAAGATCTGGTACACCAGCTTGGTGGTGGTGGCTTTCGTGGGGCCCTTGTTATCTTTCTCGATCTTGGTAGGGTGGCGGATGGCCTGCCTCCTTGCAGCACGCCTGCAGAAAATGCACATAAAGCCATTTTTACTTCCAGGGCAAGCATCCACACAAGTGGAAGGGAAAAAAAAAAGATTAAATGAGATAAAAAGTACAGGCGCTGTCAGTTACTGTAAATTTGTTAGAAAAGCCTATGGCTTTTTCAAGGCCCTCTTTATAATGTGTAGAATCACCTGACCCCCCCCCCCCCAAGGTTTCTGCTCATTGGACTTGCAAAATTGCAGCATGTGGGAGAAGAGGACAGGTAAAGGGGAAATTATCAGCCACACAAGCCCCATGGCAAAGCACAGTTTGCTCAGGTGTGTTCAGAACTGTGCTTCACCAACTCATTTCTCTCCGTACAGCTAGGCGCTAATCCGCCCCAAAAATAGCATTACCCAATAAGACCATATTACAGAACACAAGCCACACGCACAAGACGCCATTTAAAAATAACGCCAGACAGACGTATATATCCCTGTAGGTGCACATGCAAAGTGCTCTCTTCCAGTCTGTGGTCAGAGGATGAGTATGATTGTTTTTTGCAACATGACAGCTCAGGGACAGAGGAAGAATGTTCTGTACACAAAAAGCAGCATTCATGCCAAACAACATCTGTTCCAACATGCCAAGGGTACAGCATGCAATTGCAGCTCTGCATCTACATTGCTGAACTACTAAACAGTAAACACAGACATATAGAAGGGCTTTGTATTACTTCCCCTCCCCAAGAAGTACAACTTGCTTGCACAACGTTAGGATTCAGAGGCGGAAGAGCTACTTTTATATCCGTCATTAAATTTTTACCAGGACAAATAAAGGCTTTGAGACATTACATCACAAAAAAAAAAAACAGCAGGGAAAACAGACAAAGTTATACCTACCAGTACAATAGCATGCTGCATAAGGAAAACCAAAGATATATTAACTTACAGTGAAAGCCAAAGCACAAAGACAATTGTTTTCATGAGAACATTTACAACGCCATGCGGCACCCTGGTGGCAGTCACTCCCTAGGGTCTGAGACTTAAACGATCCAGCTAAGGTATTAGCTACACCTCCCTTACAATCCTCCAAAGTCAGCTCTGCTTTGGAAATACTACATTACAATATTGGAGCTTGGGATCATAATTAGGAGCCCTCTTTATTTGTATTTCATATTATGAAGTGGCAAGTAAGAAGGGCTACTTGGCACCTTAGCTAGCTCGGCTACTATTACTAACTGACCTGCTAATTTTTATACTAAGCAGGTGATGCTTGAAGAAAGCTATCGGCTTCAACATGACTGGGCAGCTTTGCCAACACTCCCACAGCCCTTTGGGTAAACAAGTACCTCCTGTTCTCAATTTTAAATGCACTTCTACATAGTTTCCACTCGTGTCTCAAGGTTCATGTTTCACAGTTGGTTATGAAGTCCTCCAATGGGATGACAGTCAATACTTTTGAGAATTCAGGAAACTTGAGTCACGTCCTTTTTGTATTCTCTGTTCAAAACTGAAAAGAGTTTAGCCTGTCAGAGAAGGACGTTTATTCATGTCAGGGACAATATATTGTGTAATGCAATGACCAAAACTGTACACCACATTCTAAATGGATTGTCTTACACTGAATAGTCTTAACAATATCCTCATTTTACAATTCTACACTTTTGATAATCTTACTTTTTATTAACAGCACAAGCTTTTCTTTCTAACATGATTCACAAAGGCCACAAGCCAAAATCCACCAGTTTAGTCTACACCACTTATTCACTTAGATTTCACAACAAACTTTGAATCCGTAACAGATTCCAAGGACTAGTATACGCAATGGTTCACAACATCTGGCAGAGTTCTCTACTAGGAGGAAAAAAAGCATACAAACAGGGGTTGTGAGTACAGTGCATTATAATTTCTGCAACAAAGTAAAAAAAAGGTGCACTGCTACTACAATCTATGGGCTTCCAACTGTTTAAGTTAACACCTGTTAACTTCGTCCTAAATTGAAATAAATCTTTTGCTAGTTGTTTTCTCTGTGTTACTGGAAATTAAGGAGCCTCTTCTTAATAAACACGCACCACTGTTATAAATTATGCCCAACATGAAATTTACCTTGAGCTACAACTTAGTCACAACAGCTCACGTGCAACTTTCAAAACTGGAGAGGGGATGACTGAATGCTCGTGCTACATGCAAAACTTCTGCATGTCTTAATTCATTAGAGCTGTGCTGGTAGGTTTAAACATTGGTCCCTCTTTTCCGATCACTAGAAGCATTTCACCCATGTAAAAGCAAGCTTACCATTCTAAGGGGGATTGTACAGAATGCCACACGAAATTCTGCAAATCCCTCAAAAGTCAAAACTCACAGCTGAACGCATTTTTGCAAAACATAAAACACTGGGACAGACCAAGGGACAAAATTACAAAAGCATTTCAGATTTTTCACAAAGTTAATGTTATCCACAAGCTCTTTAAAATAATTACGCAAATATTGCACAAGCATTTGAGAAATGGGTAAGCCAAGGCTTAGTAATTCCAGCCCACACACCCCCTAACAAAGTGTCCAAAAGCTGTGCAGGGGGCAGCCTTACCTTTTGCCCAGCGTGACGCCAGCCAGTTTGATGAGATCCCTCATGCAGGGGGTGACAATGATGGGCTGCTCGTCCGAGTCCCCGGCCTCGTCGTAGCTCTCGACCTGCTCTACCACGAACTGGGCGTGCCGCAGCAGAGTGTCCTCTGTGAAGCGGTTGAAGTTCAAGCCAGCAGGGGGCACTGTGGTCTGCACAGGAAGAGGTCAAACGTGAACCATTAAAAAGTGTAGGCATTTGACAAACCTATCCAAGGAAGTGGCTGCAAAACGGCTCTCGGCAGTAATGTGATCTGTGATACCCCTGACTAAGCCTTCTTGTTGGCATTTCCATCAGGACGCCTCTGTCCTTTCCTTCATCACTTGCCAGTAAGAGTCAGATGTCTGGTTTGTTTTAAACCACAGACCATGTTGCAGAACATCCAGCACAGAGCTGCTCTTTCAAAAGTAGAAAACACAGAGGCAAAGTGCTTTGCTCACACCACATAACACCGGTGACTCCAGAGGGATTTTGGGTAATGATAATTGCATGTTTATCATACGTTTTGAAAACTGAGATCTGCGATGCAATAAATACGACAGCATCTTCACATGGCTAAGAGACACTGCAACCAAATCACATCTTTTTGCTGTGCGTGATGAGCATTTATGTGAAAGAGTCCTGAAGAATCTGAAATTCACTGAAGGAGCTGACATTGGGAGTCACAGGAAAAAAAATTCCATACATAAAAACACCCTCCGGTTTTAACTGGATGCCCAACCCCTTACAATAAAGGGAAGTCTTTCCAGGTCTAAAGCATAGATTAAAAGCTATAAAACATTACCAAAAACACTGAGCTGGGATATTAGGTTTAAAAAAAAGTTAGGAGCATAAACACGCCCAGTTGGATTAACAATCACAGAAAAAATGCGGCATCAGCATGTCTATGCAAAAAAGATTTCTGGCATCACTATTTTGAGGCTGAAACTGAAGAACTAGAACCTGGCGCAAAAAAAGACTACTTTTTTAAGCACATGCTGAAGTTAGAGTTAATTTACAACAGGAGGAGGGAGCGGAGTGGGGAGAAGGTTTCAAAACTGAATCATGGAACAAAACAGGATGTGAGACATCCCCAGCAGAACAGTTTAATAGCTGCAGGGAGCCAAAAGTGTTGTGAAAAATAGAGACTCAAGACCATGCGTAAAATGGCAGTGATGCATTGCCTCCTACCTAAAGTCAGTTAATCTTACTCAGTAACATCCAATAAAGACTTAATCAGTTTGACAGGAAAATGGTGAAGATGCCAATAAGGCAAGGTCATACAAACAAATATGAGGTTTGTTGGATTTTTTGTCTCCAACTGCACAAAGTATCGGACTTCCTTCACTGGAAGGAAACTTGGTTGAATACTGCTCTTTGGTGTGTTTTAAAAAACTCCCAGGTCACTGGTTGCAGGAAAGCAAATTCCTGACCCCAAAAACAGAATGGCTGCCAAGTGCAGTTCCTCTTGCTTCTGCAGCATAGGATGACCTGCAAGCTAACAAATTCTGACTGTCGTTACATTAAGAGAGGGTCAATGCTTAAATTTTGCATTACTGTTTCACTTTCAGATACCCAAGTTAAATCAGTGCTGTGGAAACAAATACTGCTGTAGCTGCAGAAGGCAGCTTTCAGTCACTTCAGTCTCAGTTGCCCATTGCTCAGTCATTCAGTCAAACCACAAGGCAGCAGGGACACTCTTTGCTTATGCTAAAATCTTTAAACCTGCTGAAAAAATGTACAGTTCAGAGCATGGGGAGCACTCAATCACCTCGATTTTGTTGAGGAGGTCTTCATAAGTGGCCTCAGGATTCTTCTGCAGAAACTCCACCACGATCTTGCTCATGTAGATCTTCTCCTGCATCAGAGCGAAGATGGGAGCGTACTCCTCGCTGGGGTCCATCAGGATGTAATCCGCAAACGCTGCCGAGAAAAGGGGATTACAGGAAGCAACCAGCAGTGAACACGCTCAAGGACCTGAAAGCGTGTCTCACTTTCACTACAATTCCTTTGAGGCCAACAGAAAGGGAGCAATTTAAGCCATCAAAGGAGTAAGATGAGTAAGATCTTACAGGAAGGTTTTTTTTAACAAGGACTACTAGAGGAGGAAGGGCAAATGCCACTTTTCATTTAATTAAAAGAGAGAAATAAAAGTTGATTTGATTGAGGGAAACAGGAAAACACAACTGCCCCTGCCCCCCCCACCCCGAACTCCGATATCAAGGTAGATTAACAAAATTAGAAACTTTCAGAGGTTACTTGGGCCGAATTAGTGCATCACCAAACAAACTACAGACCTTATACACTTCACCAAACTTCTAAAAGGCTCCGTAACTGGCAAGACAGATGTCCTGCTACTCTAAATCTCTCATCACTTACCTGTAGTGAACCCAATCAGAGCCTTTTCACCGCCATCAAAGCCAGTTATCCACCAGGCATTGATGGGACCAAGCTTCTTGGCAGGAACACCCCCTTGAACAAGAGCAGGAGGAAAAGCAAGTTTTAGATTTGGAGGCCGAACGCCATTCGTGAAGGTGAGAACTGAAAACCGCAGTGTTAAAGGACAACACCTAGCTTCAAGACACAGGATACAAAAAAAAAAGCACAATACAGAGAAAACCAAGGGGACCTCACACAATAATTCAAAATACTCGAAGGCATTAACACAGCCAACCCAGGGGACTTCCTCAGAATCTACAGTGAAACACAAACCAGAGGACGCAAGGGGACGCTATTTGGAAGAGTGCATTTAAAACCGAGAACAGGAGGCACTCCTTTACCCAAGGGGTTGTGGGGGTATAGAACAAGCTACCCATCCACATTGTTGAAGCTCATAACCTGGTTTCTTTCAGAAAATCAATGGATGAGATCCTTGAATCAAGTTACTACTAACTTCCAAATAGTCTAGATGGGCCAAATGGAGGAAGCTTTCTTAACCTTTAGAATTTCTTACATTAAGCAGTTCTGCAGAGAACTGAAAACTACCAATGTATCCGACATAAAGCAGTTTTCCACTGTGGTTGAAGACGCATGCTAGCCCTCCATTATAATTGGCAGGGGTATGTCAAGAGAGGTACACAAGCCATGCGATGATTTTTATAACTGAAGCTGGAGAAGAGGGGTCTTATGGGATCTCAGCCCCTAGCATTGAAGCACATACCATCCATGCAGGGGTTGTCATCATAGATAGGTTTTACAGCACAGCTGAAGTACAGCTCCACATTCTTCTCAATCAGACCCGAGTCGAAGGGGCAGAGATGGCCTTTCTTGTCATAAATGCTGCAAGACAAAGAGCAGAGCACAACCTCAAAGCTAAAGGTTTAAACACGTCGTTTTTTTACTCGCATTTAAGAAAAAAAAAAGACTCGGATTTACCTGAAATTGGTGATTTTATGCTGAGGCAGATCTTCGTAACTCTCAAACCCATCTTCGTTCGCATCAAACAAGGAAAGGCGCTCGTCTGTCAGCATTTCCGGCTCATCTAGCTGCATTGCAGTTATACAGAACACAGTTCGACATCTACCACCATGCTCAAGGTGCATTTATATTCAGAACTAAAACCTGTATTTCCACATCACCGCTGGGATCTTCATAATGGATTCTTGAGATCAAGTAAGATTTCTTATTCCACCATGATTAATCCCTCAATTAATGTCTGGATCCTTGGCTTCCATTTAACACTCAACTTAACGTAATCAGAAATGCTGAAAAAGTGCAGGTTCAAGAAAGCTGAACTGCATAATTGAGCTTCATAAGTGTCCTGTATGGTGAACTGAAACAGTAGTTTCTTTACACTTTAGAAAGAGAAAAAAACATTGTAGGCCCAGGAGAAGGGAATTTTGTCTTAGTTCTAAAATCACTTGGCTATGCTTCAACTGCTGTAGTAATGTAGATATCTCTTTCAAGCAAAGGTAGAGTACATGAACTACTTCTCTTTAAGCTAACATAACATCAATCACTCTGGTGTCAGTGCAAAGTGTAACCAGGTACAGTCCTAGGATTTAATGAGTGTCTTGCTCCAGCAGGAAAAAATATTTTTTCTTTGTAGTCCTGAAAAAAAGACCACAAAGGGATTTGACACAACCATCAAAAATCTTTAAAGGTACTTGAGAAATCAACAACAGTCTTCAAAGTCAATAGTGAACCACAACCCACAGGATGGGGGGGGACTACAGTAACTATTCAATCACATCAAAATGACTTCTTTCAAGTAACAGCTGGATGAGATTCCTGCATTAATTATCTATTAGCAACCAAAAAAAGCAACAGGAGCCTGGTAGACTGGGGGGGTGGGGGGCGTCTGCATATGACTGTTGTAGCATCGCTTTATCTTAAAACATCAAACAGGAATCTGAAGCCTGCCAAGGAAGTACTCACAGCATCATCAGGATCTCCCTGGAAAAACTTGAGGTCCGGATCGTCCAGGTACTGCCTGCAGTCTGGACACTTGGGAGGTGGAGTCTGAAACGGGAACATAAGACCACTCCCAATGAGCACTCCAAATTTTAAACACAAAAAGGTGCTGCTTCTTATAAACTTCCAAAACCAGGAATGTTATCAACTACCACACACAACCACAGGGCCATCTGAATTAAAAAAGGATTACATTCCTGAAGGCAAAATGAGTAAAAAAAAAAAGAGAGGAAAGAGGGCTAGCACGATGGTGCAGTGGTTAGTGTTGCTGTCTCTGGGTTCACTTCCTGGGGTGCCACCTGAATAGAGTGTGCGTGCTTTTGTCTGTCTTTGTATCTGCAATGGACTGGCACCCCGTCAGGGGTAAACCCTGCCTTGCACCTGTTGATTGCCAGGAGTGGCTCTGGCTTCCCCGCCACCATGAATTGGAAGAAAATGTTAGAAACTGGATGGAAAGGAATGAAAACAAAAATATTGATAGGGGATTGAAAATTAAATCCTTAAACAAGACGCATTTACATCTCACCTTGGCTGGCGGCACAGGATTCTTCTGAACAGAAGCTTTAGTGTCAGTCCTAATCAAAGAAAAAAAATGTTACTGGACCAATGCAAATCTAAAACCTTTGTAATTCAAAAAGACCATTAGAAAATTTCTTACTTTTCCTCCGACTCCACTTTTAATCTTTTCTCATCTTGTGCCTAAAAAAAAAGGGGGGAGAAGTGCTTGCTGTAACATTGCCTGCAGAGACTTGGCATGCATGGTCACCATAATAAAACAGTCAAGAAGCAAAACAAAGAAATAAACTCAAAGACAACAAAACTGTAAAAATACTGATAAACAAAGCTGAAAATCCCAAGCAACCAAACGGACATGACAGCAGGACAACTTTCAATGTTCCACCGCAGGTCGGCCATGCATGAAATGGCATTTATAAAAACCAACCTTCTCTTCATCATCCGTTACTCCCTCTTCTGTAACCGGGGCCACCTCCTCTCCATTCACTTCATCTGACTTGCGCTTGCTTGAGCTGCAACAGCAAACAAACAGCTAGCCATCAAGTGACTCAACTCGCCAAAAGATTTTAAGAAACGTAACTCGGCAGAGGCTACACAATATCGCTTACACTTTCAACAATGCTAAAGACATTGAACAAGAGACCCAGGGATGTAGGCTGAGAAGAACATAAAAACGGGTTACCTTTTTGCAAACATGGACAAGATTGTGGGCTGCTTGACAGAATTCCTGGTGACCCTGGAACTGGAGAAAGATTCTGAAAGAAAAAAAAATCCAACATGATTGGAACAAGGTACTGAAATGCCCAGGTCAGGCTAGCCTGTAGCAAACCTACATCTGGCGAAGCATTCTTCCAGGTTCAGAATTCCTTCTCCTCCTCCCCCCCTGCTTCCTTATTGCAAGTGTGCGCCAACATTTCCCACTCTCACCTGGCAGCCCTGGGCCAGGAAGTTTATCTGACCAACAAGTGTGTCACAGGGAACACCCCCAGTGGGAAAGCAACAGAAAGGGAAGTAAAACCACACCAGCTGTGACTAACAACTGATGGTGCTCAACTGCTCTGATTATAAAAGGGGTTTGTATACATCACACAGTTAGGTATCCACCCCCTTAATACTCCAGGACTTAAGCTTACGTAGAGTATGAAAGGTTTTTTTTAACACAAAATAACCTTACACCACTACTATGGCTCCACTGCTGGAAAGACTAAGTTTCAAACTTTTGTAAGGCCTCCACAGTATCCCTCATGCCAGGCAAAGCTTCTTACTCTTTGTGTCCCCTTCAGTCTTGCTCCTTCTGCCCCCTCTGGGCTTGCCAGTGCTGGGCGACTTGAGCCCTTCCTCTTCCCGAGCCTCCACAGTGCCCTCTGCACCCTGCCCATTCCTCGGGCCGCAGTCTTCATCGCTGGCACCATGCGCCCCGTTCTCCGCGCAGCCGTTGGCCTGGCCATTGAGCTCCGAACTGCCGTTCTCCAGGCACAGCTCCCGGCCAAGCAGGGCCTTGACTTTAGACAGGTACCCCTCCTGCAGCAGCACACACAGACACAGAACCACCACAGGGTGAGGCAGGGATTCAGCCCTGTACGCCAGGCCCTACTCTCCGGCTTGTTATTTCAACTGAGATCTGCACAGCTATTCTGAGCTCATAGCGTGCTCAAACAGAATTTGAAAAGGAAAACTCAGTTCAGCACAACAACAACATAAAAAAAATTCAGGTGCTGGTGTGAAACTATTAGGTCTTTGCCTCCAAAGACTGAAAAGATTCCTTTCACCAAGACGAGGACGAGAGGCGTTTGTACGCATGCATTCTGGCGCGTCACAGAGAGAAACAACCAGCTGTGAGCAATGAGTCAAAACAGTCTTCCTCCACAGCCAGCCAAACTTAATTTCACCTTCAAATGCACCAAAACATGATTTGGTCACATCACAATGCAGGCATGAAGTCTGAAGCCCCAGCTTCAATTAAGGACAGAAAATAGAAGTGGTACATGCATTCAAAATAGTCTCTTGGTGCCCTAATGAGCGTATAGAAGACTTGTGTATTGCTTCTGTAGGCATAAACACATGCACATTTTTTCTCTCCCCTTGATATATAACTTGAAATGGGATTGAGTGATTCTAAACTGACACTTTCCTTGCCCTTACTGAAATTATTTAAAAAAAAATTCACACATGGTCAAAGATACATTGGATCAGCCCAAATTTTACACCGCATCTGGGACTGTAATGTTAGTCACCCCAATCTAGGACTAAATGTAATATCTTTCAGACTTTGATCCTAAATGGGCTCGGTAAAATAATCCTCAGATGACGACTCTGGTTGCTGGAAAATTATGATGAAAAAAATCCCTATTCAAAGGCTTTATCCAACAAAAGGGAGAAACCCACATAGCTTCCTTTAGAATCCAACAACCCGACTCTTCTTTGGCAGGATACCTCAGTGTTTGCGTTTCCCCATCAACCCCCGGATTTGTGACGGACACCTTTTCTCGCTCAGGGGGCTGCACCGAGAGGATGGGGATTTGGGGGTGGCAGTGCTGCATCCATGAGTTTTTGGACCACCTGGCTGTTAACAAGCACTTTCGCCTGGAACCGCAGCTGGTGTGACATGCATCCAATTTTTATTCCAGACCTCCACATTAAAACAGCCTTAAATCTGAAACAAGCCTGACAGAACCAGAAACCAGCCACAGCCTAGGAACCCCAAAACACCTTGCAAACAATAAGCCCAGCCACAGTCTTGCTATTCTTTAAACCTTTTCAACCTAAATTATAAACTTCCATAAGAGAAACAACAACCCAGTTAAACATGCTTCAGACAAATGACGTAAAGGCTCGTGTCAATCACAGAACAGCGATGGGGAAACTCCTGTCCTCAAGAGACAAAATCCAGGGCCACATTCATCCCTCCTCCTTCACCAGCAAACACCTTCCAAGATTCTCCTGGGTTTGCCAGCTGTCCCACTCGATTTTTGCAAGTGCAACAAAACTGATGGCGAAATGGGATAAGCAGATTTACCACTGAAAGCTCCTCTTTCTTCAGCTTGGACTCAAGGTTGTTGAGCTGATTCTGGGCATCTGCCTTCAGGTAGCCAAGCACCAGACTCAGCGTCTCCCTCACGCGCTCCTGCTCGGAAGAGAGGGTGGGGGAAAACTCTGAAAACATGACGGCGCTGCCAGCGAGGGGGTTGTAGCATGCACCCGCGTCCATGCTGCAAGGACACCGGTAGGGTCAGCAATGTGGACGTGGGAGATTCTCAGGTGTCGAGGAGGAAACTGCAACCAAGGGATAACACTAAAAATAACACTGCAGCCGTCTCCTAGATGAGACTGTGGCCCTGCAGGAGAGCAGTCGGACCAAACCGAAACCAGATTCACAGCATGGTAACAAAACCGGGCTAGTTTAGCATCTCAAGGCGATCTGAAAATGCTCCAAATGCACCATCAATGATTTGGGTTAGATTTCAAACACACACACGCCAAAATGCACTTACCTCATCTGTAAGACCATCTCCATCCGTATCCAAAACTTGAAGCCTGTAAAAGAGGAAACGAAGAAGAGGGTAACTACTGGGGGCAGTACAATACCAGTAAAAGCGTCGTGAGGCAAGAGAGAGCCCCCTCTCAGCAGAGTTTTCTCTGTGAAGCTAAACCATCATGCCGGAGACCACAGGGCTCCCTCCCTCGGGGCAGAAGCACACCAGCAGAGCCAAGATAAACACTATTTTCAGAGTTCTCTGGATCTCAGATTCGACTAAAGGCGGGACCAAATTCCAGGTGGAGTGTTGACGTCCCGTTCACCTCAACATTTCCTCTAAAACATCACAAGTGCCCCCACCTCACACACACACACTTTCTCGTCGTTTAATGTTTTACAGAAAGCAGTCGCAGTTGAACAGCAGGAAGTGCAATGTAGCCCGCTAAAATCCAGGAGGAACACGATCAGACAGGAATGAAAAAGCAAGACAGTTGTGGCTCAGAGTGTGACTCGGTCTCGGCGACCTGCCCTGCTGCACACGTACTGTACAGCCCGCAATGCAAGGAGGCCAAGCTTGTGCCCCGTGCCCCCCCCCCAAAAAAACCCAAACACTCAAACTTACTGCGGGAGATAAAACAAAATTCGCCGTTTTTTTTCCCCCGTACTAGCGTGCTCCACTGCGCGGAATAAACGCGCTGCTTTGGTGAGCACACCGGCAGGGCTTTGGGAAGCAGGCCGGGGGCTGCTGCTGGAGAACTTGTGGAAGTTGTGCGCAGTGCCGGCGTTCGGACCCGCGTTCTCATGACAACGGCACTGTTCACGGCGCCCCGCACGCCAGCTCGACACCGGCCGCGGCGCGGGGATGTGCCGCCGTTTTTACTACGGTAACGGCCGCGGCACGGGCATGGAAAAGACACGGTCCTTTCGCGCCAAATCCAGCCGTCTACACCACCCACTTCCGAAATCCCCCGGCGCGCTCAAAACACGCTTACTTCTCCCAGCGAAACACAACACACCGCCCGAGTGGAGCCGACAGGTCGGGATCCGAGCCGCCCAGGTGTGTGGTGCCATATTATCCCGTACAAGGCGTTGTCCAAGAGCGACTCGCGTTCACAAACACAAACAGTACTTATCAGCGGCGCCAAAACCGAGTGTCGAGTAAAGGCGATACAAAATAAACATGGAACAAACTGCAGTATAAGTACAACAACGGAAAGGCGCAGGAATTGCAAGGGATGAATTTAGACTCTGGAGATTCCATTAAAAAAGAAAGAAAAGATAAAAGCCCCCTCCCTTTGGTTAGTGAAAGAATACACCTGATGTATTAATCATAAACCTCAGCGGCAAGAAAATAAATCGTTAACTAGCTACCGTTTTTTGACGTCCTCTGGGAGGGATAGTGATGTCTTAGCTGGCATTTCAAGTTTGAATTTGGTTTGTTTTACAAACAGGAGAATCCCGAAGCGTTTCTGTTCTAAAAAAAAACAGAAAGAAAATAAAGAAAAAGGAACATAAAATAAAAGCAATATCCTTTAAAAACGAGGCGCTTTCACCCGAGGACGCTTCTTATGGATTCTATATGCTGCTACGGCGCGCGGGCCGGCTTTTCGCGCGGAAACCAGGGTACGCTGGGCTCTACCACTAGTCAAGCACATAGGGGAGCGCAGTGTCAACTGGGATATGTTCAATTTTGTTTTTCGATATTAAAACTTAAAACAAGCCATCCTTTTCATCTTTTATTAATTAAATATAACAGAAAATGTGTTTTTTCCGCCTAGACGTGTTCTATGTTTTATTTCAGTAATATATTTTATTAGTTAACCCCTGACTTTCAAAATGGAATCATCCCTAACCACCTATGCCGGGTTTTCCGACGTCATGAACAAAGAGAGGGGGGATGTATTATTTTCCCATTTTACAAGCTTTTGTTCTCCATTTACTCGATTCATTAGAAAAAGACTGATAACATGATATTTCACAATAAATCAAACAAGTTAATCATCGGACACGATAGAGTCGTCGCCGTCTTTTAATCTTTGAACAAAAGATATGTGTACCCCCCTTTAACTATAAAATAATATATCTGAACAAGAGCAGACCAACTCTTACAAATCGAAGAGACTAGAGGGGGCAGATCAATAAACATTTAAATTATATATTTGTGAGAGATAGAAATATAGCAAGGCTTGCAAGGCTAACATAATACGATCACATTTTTTAAACGTTAAGGTGTGGATCGATTTAATATTTTGGAGGAATGTAAAGGAAAGCCCCTTAAAGTATTTAAGTCTTACCCGTGTAGTAGAGAATTTGGCCATCCAGGCTTACTCGCCTGTACACAACGTTACGCCAATAGCGCTGCGGGTGAGAGCGCGGCGCAGAACTTTAAAAAGATCTTACTGTAAGTCAATCCACAGAAACAAGAAACGCAGACAATATGATCGAGACTTCATGTTTGCGAACCATTTACTTCTGGTGTATATATATTGTAGGTTATGTACACTGTTATGTATGCACTGTTCGAAACAGACCCAAAGCCAACTATTCTAAGCAGATGACAAGACAGGTTATTTATTTGCAGTATTTGAAGTCTCTTTCGGAGCGCCCAAGTTTCGTGTTCGCATTTTTTTGTATTTTTTTAAACTGGTGGAATCGTCACATCAACGAGAGAACGAGAATGTCCATATGTATTAACTTTTAGTAATCGCATTGCAAGCTACGCTTGATGCGTGTATTTCAGTCATGAAAGAAATACCTTAACAGGGTCTTTCTGTGGCAGTGTCACTGTATGATGTGTCAGACGACTCTATTTACAATATAAACATTTATGCTGAGTGTCAGTTGAACTTACACAATCACATAGCTGCGCGAACGAGTGTAGTGTGGCTACAGAGCAATTTCTTTTGCAAAGTAGCCCATGTTTACAGAGTATAAATGTAATCAACAGAGTGTATTATTAATCATATCATTGAATGCATTAGTGCGAGGCAGAGGCAAATGGAATGACTCAATGAAAGCACCGTGAAATTATTTTAGTTTTACCGAGGTCTACTTGCACGCGAAGCTCTTGAATCAGAGCTGCGCTGGCCTGCGTATTATGCGCAGATTTCGGCGGGTGCAGGGTTTTAGAGACGCCCATCATCAGCCGTCGAAGGACAACAGCTCAGTGTGGAGCTGCGGATATGCGCATAAGAGAACGACTCTCATTATCATTCTCAATTCTGCAGACAGGATCCCAGAACGCGCATTGCTGCTTTCTCCTTCTTCTCCACCAGGGGGCGCTCCCATAAAGGCAATTGATAGACTGTGATCGTTCTAATGTTGTTCAATGGTAGCAAAAACTGCCAGAGGAATGAATTGGGTTGTCATACTCCGAGACCTTTCTGCCTTTAATCTACAATACTCTCCATGTTGTCAATGGGTGTAGGGGCTCTTCTGATGTGAAGTACCCACAGGGTTAAAATCGTCATCATGACAATGGAGCTATTGCACACTCCCACAACCTTAAAAACGCTTTGGCTCTCAGTTTTGAATGTGCTTCCCCATGTTTTTCACTTATGCCATATAATCTGTGACGTGTACTTCTTTTTCTGTATGTCACAGAAAAAAAATTGTGGTTTAAGAGAAACAACACATACAATATGTACCTGTAAAGTATAGCAAGTCACTTGGTCGCTTATTTTGAGAAAGGATCTAATAATGGCAGCTTCTGGCCCTGGTGTGGGTGTGTGCGTGTCTGCGTCCGGTGTCCTGTCCAGTCCCTTGCAACCACGAACTGGATGAATTGGTTTAGAAAATGGATGGATGGTTATTATAATTGCTTTCCGTTACTATCCTGTTGGTGGATGAGATCTCGTTTATGATCTCTGTACCCACATCTGTGTTTGTACCAAATTCTGCCTCATTTGTCCGGCCTCTCGGGTCCTTTTTTAGTTTTATTCTTGCCCCGCTGTGAGAATGGGGGCCGTCGTTTCGGAACCTCACATACTTGACAGCGGAGGGAAAAAAATCAAATCATTTATCCAGAAAACCCCCTGGGGAAATGCCCATAGGACCACCCACCCCCATCGGAAAAGAGATACCTGGTCAGTCAGGGGATTTTTACAGGTCTCATTGTGAGCATCAATGTCCTAAGTGTTTTGTTTGGTTTAAAAATGATCTGACTGAAAGCAGGTCAGAGCAGCAGAGGGTAGCAAATTTACCAGGCAAGCAGACCCAAGACAAAGACCTCAGCATTTACTGCAATTCCTCCAAACGACACATGCAGAGAGAGGAAAGGGTGCAGCAGCTACAGTATTGAGAAGCTACCCTGAGCTGGAGAAAGTCCCCCTGTCCCTTAGCACTCCTTTCAGAAACAAGCTTCTGGCACCACGGATAACGGTCTAATAGTGGTGTCCGTGTCCAATGCAAAAAGCTGCAGAAGAAAAGCCACTTTGTCTATGAATAATACTGACATCAACAACAGGGGTGACAAGAGCAGAGATTGGTTTAATCGAGAATAGAGAGAGATAAAACAGATAAGGTTTTGTTCCATTCCAAACTGAAACCAGCATGCACTCAAAAACTGTGTCAACATCTGTATTCATTTCCGTCCGCAGGCTGAGAAAGGCAGATCAGAATTTGGAAGTTTCTAGATACAGTGGTTTCTTGGTTTTCCGACTCTCTTGCTTGTTTTTTTGCTTTATTTGTTTCCCCAGGGATTTTCTGTTCCAGTTACTTCTCAAATTTTAGAGCTAGCTTGATGTTAAATGACTGAGAAATATTAAAAAATGTCTTCAGCTCAAAGCAAGTGCGTTCAAATTCCACATTACTATTGCCATTTTCCTAAGTGACATCACCCCCAGAATCCCTTGTACAGCATATTATACTCCCTCGCTTCTTGTGATACACAGAGTTGCAAGCACAGGTTAATCACATTCTGAAAAGTTAAAAATACATATATATATGCTGATGGAAAAAAGAAAAGCAACATTTTCTGGGATGAGAATACTACAGTTATAGCTTATGTACTTTCACAAAAAGTTATCAATTTGTTTTAAGCCCTCTGACCAGCAATACAGCTTGTGCAGTGAGGTATTGCTACTTGCCAATCACACCAAAGCTCGTTAGCTGCACTTTTACCCAACAAATTCCAGGTGGAACAATGCCTGGTCACCTTTAAAAAGGCTTTAATTCAAAGCTTAGGTCACTGCAAGAAAAAGGCCACACTTAGTCCGTTTTCTGTGCGTTCCATAATGTCTCGAATGTCACCAGCAGCAAGGGAGAGGGCCATTGGCATGCTGCAGGCATGCATGCCTGTGCCAGAGTTGCCAGACACTATGGAGTAAGCCTCTCCACTGTGTCCTGACTGCAGAGAAGGTTTCAGCAGACTGGTAGGACAGATGACTGTCCCAAGATCCAGTTGCCCTTGAGTGACCACAACAGACCAGGACTGATGCATCGGGCTGGTTGATCTGAGAGATCTCTTCAGATCTGCCACCCGTTCTGCTGCTGAAACTGCTGGCAGACACAATGCCCACATCAGTGACAGGACAGTGAGGCTTCATGCTCCTGGCCTTAGAGCAAGGCGACCTGTCAGAGGCCCTCTGCTCTCACCTCCTAGACGCCACACCCGACTGGCTTGGGCCAGACAGAGGCCGTGAAAGACTCGTCAGCAGTGGCATCAGGTCCTCTTCACGGATGAATCGCTCTTCAGCCTGTTCCACTCAGACAGGAGGGCCCGAGTGTGGAGGAAGAGGTGTTGCGCTTCTTTTGTTCCATCAGTATATATAATTATGTATATATCAGTATCCTGTGTCAAAAGAATAATGACAAAGGAATGCTAAAGATTACTTATATATTTTATCTTTCTATATTAATCACAAATGTTAAACAGCAGCCCTATGACCCTGCAAGTGACAACCCACTGAAGCTCAGCAGGTGTGAGCCTGGACAGTACCTGGATGACCACTACTGGGAAAAACTAATGCTGCTGCTGGAAGAGGTTGTTAGTGGGGCCAGTGGGGGGCGCTCAACCTGTGATCTGTGTGGATCCCAATGCCCAAATATAGTGATGGGGCAATGAACAGTATAGTCATGAAAAGAGTAGGGGTATTACCCCAGTGTCCTGGCCAAATTTTCCCCTGGCCTTTGCCAATCATGGCCTCCTAATAACCCCCATCTCTGAACTGGCTTCATTACTCTGTTCTCCTTCCCACTGATAGCTGGTGTGTGGTGAGAGTACTGGCACACTATGGCTGCTGTCTCATCATCCAGGTGGGGCTGCACATTGGTGGTGGTGGAGGGGAGTCCCTATTCCCTGTAAAGCACTTTGAGTGGAGTTTATTGTAGTAGATTATTATTATTTTTTATTCATATTATTCAGTCTGACTGTTTTCCACTAATCATAACTTCTTTACAGTACAAAGAATCGTAACTACACTGTACACTTTGCAGTGCTGTGCCATTTGTGTGCTTCTTAGGATATGGTATCAGATTAATTTCTTGACTTTCTGATATGCAGTTAATGTCGTTGAATTTTCAAAAGAAATGACTTCAACTTCCTCAATTCAGTTTGCAGTAGCTAGTGCTGACAACCCGCCTGCACGTGTACAGATGAAAGCACAGTGGTT